AAATTTAAAACCCAGTTATCCAAGGGAGTCACAGCCCTGAGGAATGCTGTGGACAAGGGCTCACACTACTTTCGTCAGGACATATGAACTTAATGAAATCTGCAGAACTCTGCACCCAGCAATGTGTTGTCCAGTCCATTGCAAAACAATAGAACAAGGCCATTATGTGGTATTCTTAGCTAATTGTTCCATATGTGTATGTTAAATATATTAAACTCATGAATTGTTGGCAGCAGAAATGAACATTAGGTATCAAATCTCAGGGAATTAGGGGTACTTATAGGACACTGTCACCTTCCTACTTGTCCCCCTTTGCTCTCACTGCATAGCAGTTACCTCTAGTAACACACCTTCCTCATCCATCCCAGTCTGCCCTGACCACATCTACCTCAGGACTCGTGTCCATGTCTTCCCTGAAAAACTAGTGGGCAGAAACTTCCCACCACTACTGGCACAACACCTGGGAGTAAAGCTTACAGGATGAGGATGTGTAGTGAGCACACTGAAATACAAGGACAGTTCTGGTATCTGCTTGCCCTTCTCTTTCGTTCTATCTTTCATCCACAATAAAATGAATGTTTCCATTTTAACTTTGGAGGATGTATGAAGGGGAAGAGGGAAGTAGAAGAATATCCTAGAAATGATAAAAAATACCTAGTCAAAGAAATATACAGGTCCTGCCTCCAGTGCTGCTGCTCTAAGTATTGGTTCCATTACTTCCTAGGTGAGGTAGGGGTGGAGCACCCCACAGGAAGATAGTTACGTCAGCAGGCTGTGAGAAATAAAGTGCTTATGTTTTTTTTACACTAACAGTGAAGCTAAGCCATTATTTCCTACGTGAGGTCTTGAAAATCTGCTTCAAATATTATTGGAAAAACCACTGTATGAATGGGAATACAGTCAGGTCAGGGGATTAAATCATAAGAAGTTGATTACAAAACTGAAGAACCAAGTATCAGTTTTTGGTTATTTAGATTCACACCACTCCAAACTGGTGTCTTCACGAGCTACGGCCTACTGTTACTTCATATGTCTCAGTTAATTTGTTATCTGAAAAAGAAGACTGCTTTTGTCTGGAGGTATGACCCAGTGACTGTCATCAAATATGCTTTTATTCAAAAAAAGTTTTTTTATGACTCTATCATAAATATAGAAATGGATTTCAAAGATGCCACTGTAGTGACCTCTTGCTCTGTGCAACTTTCCATCCTCTACCACAACTGTACAAAGGCACAAAGATCTGCTGCCAGGGCACCCCTCACCGTATCACGACAACACACATATCTGTCTACATGCCTAATGCAATAGCTCCTTATCACAGAAATGTAATAATTTTTTTGGAAGCACAGGTCCAGGCAACAGATTGTTCTGTTCATGTGAAACCTGTCATTTATAAGCAATTTTTTAAAAAATGAGCTTCAGAGGAGACAATAAACTGACTTATTTTTGTATTTCACGACATACTTCCATCTATTCACGCAAACTGAAGAGCATGTGCTCAGACTCGTGGTCTGAGTCTGAGTGCACAAACAAGAGTCTGGGATTCTCAAGGTAAGGAGTAAGGCAGATGAAATTTGCTTCTCTTCAGAAGCACTCATTGCATCCTTTGAAAAGCTGTCCTCTGAAGGACATTGATGTTGTGACACTATCTGATGCATGCCAGGATGTTTGGATTATGGCTGACAGACTGTAATGAAACTGATGGAAAAAAAGGCGGTAATCAAACTGATGGAAAAAATGGAAATCGCCATGGGATGTAAAAGAACTCCACAATGAGCAGTGTTAAATGGGAATTATTCATCTGCTTTTGCCACATTTAACTTTGACTGAGATAATTCATCTAGGTTTTGAGAGGAGTGGTTTCAGAATTAAGGATTTTCTTTATCCTGCTCATGCTAAGGAAAACACTGGTGACAGCTGTCATTCCCACAGTAAATGTTAGGAATGATGGCAGAGGAAGTACAACTGCCTTCAGCAACTGGTGAGGAGGCAGTAGTTTGCCTTCTAGAGTTTACAAGGTTTTTTTACTCTCATTCAAGAAACATTTTTCTTTCCTTCCATCAAGCCTTTAGGCCTGATATTAAACCCTGAGTCAGAAAAATTGTCCCATTGACTTCAGTGCATTTTTAGAGTTGAGTAAGGACTATGAGTTTTTGCCCTAAGCTAGGAAGAAGAGTATTAAAGTGTTGTAAACACATAAATAATGGCTTTGGCCCCAGAAAAATGAACAGAAAAACAAACATCACACGCGTTTCAACTCTTCTTGGGACTGATGCAGGCCACTTAGTGCCTAAATCCTCCTGCCTCCCCCTCCTTCCAGGATTAACCTGCAGCTGTCAGAGACAACCAACTCCCCCACTCTATTCCATGCCATTTCTTGACATACACATACTACAGCTCGAAAAACAACAGCAATAAATAAACAACAAAGGAAAATATAACTTACTCCAAAAGAAGCCTTTTCCTGAATATTGTAACTTCTGTTGCTAGGAAAATGGTGCAATGGGTGTTTCTCTGGGAGAAAAGGAATAGGAGGTGAGCCTCTGTGTTACCTTTCAGGACCATGTTTCAACTCCTGCTGCTTAGTTACCACAGGTTTTGGACTGCACTCAGCCCTTCCCTTGATTCCCCAGCCACTGCCTGCCTGCCTGGCTAAAAAATAAAAATAAAATAAAAATGAATAGCTACTGTGAGAAAACAAAACAAACAAATGAAAAGATCAGTATATTTCTCCAGCTAAAAATACTTTTCATGCACCTCCTCTGGCCTACAACCTGCCTGACATTGTCTTCCTATCATGCTGGCTGGTATAGAATGAAACTGGGAAATGTAGCATTCATTAATATAAAGCATATTAAATGCTAGGATCAGCTGACTGGCAGTAATGGAGGGGAAAAATTTCTGAAGTGGTAAGGGCATGACAAGATACAGTGCTCTCTCCTGGCTTCTACGAGACCAGGTTCTCTCAGAAGCAGCCAGGTGTTGTCCAGTTGTCAGTCTGTTCTTGCTAATGCACACTTTGTTGATGCAGCCAGTCCAACTGCAGGTTGCCATTTTTTTCATATAGCATTCCTGGTTTTGCACATTGGCTGCCATGCAACTATCCTGCTGGCTATCTGTACTCTGGTACAGAGAGCACAGCACTAACTCTGGGACTGGACACGGCATAGCCTGGAAGGTGTTTTACTCTGTCCAACATGCCCTCTTCTCTCCAGGCCTAATGCACACAGTGGAATGCTCCTGGGTCCAGCCACAGCACCCGGTGTATGCAGTCAAGCTGCACAGAGACACCACGAATCCTGCCACTCAAACTCTGGCAGCAGCCAGCAGCCCACAGCACCCGCACAACTACAGCACAATCCACCCCTCGCTCCACTGAGGTATCGCAGTGACTATGAATGGTGCTGGAGTCATTCTGGGGAGGAGTGAAACAACCCCCTGGGAAACCTGGCTCCATTAATTCAGCTGATCACACTAAAAAATAAAAATGTTGAGCTTTTTGCCCCAAGGCTTTAATGAACATTTTTCCTCTGATGTCCTTACTTCTGGACATCACATCTGTAGCCTCTGCATGAGATGTGCTCTCACCTGCTCTATTTTACCTTTATCTATCTCTGGTCAGCTTGTCTAATGAATTCCCTGGGATTCTGTAGACTTCGTGACCACCTTTATCTGTGACTTTGGTTCTATAATCAACAAAATCCATGGCCTGATGACTCTTCTATTTTGGCAAGTACCAAGGCAAACAGACTATGAACACAGACTAGTATTCTCTCTTTCCAGCTGACAGAAGCACCAAAGGGGATATATCAAGGGGTAAGAGGAACAGCCCGGTACATATGAGACTGGTTCAGTGCTGTGACCACTTCCCTGGGGAGCCTGTTCCAGTGCCAACCACCCTCTCGGTGAAGAGCCTTTTCCTAACACCCAATCCAAACCTCGATGACTCTCTTCATCAGCCTCAGACCACATTAAATCTGACTGGAATGGGGACAACAGAACAGCAAAACAGCAGCAAAATGTTAAATAACTTTTAAATAACTCCTTGTGCCCAGCTGCAGGCGTCCACGTTTGAGTGCTCTCAGAAGCAAAAGCAGCAGAGAACATGCTGCTGTAACCCCTGCACAGCCCAGGGTGGTGTTCATCTGGTCAGCACTAGAGCTTTAGCTTCGTCTTTGGAAGCAGTGAGGGAAAAGTGGAAGCAAACAGCCGGTCACAGCGAGGCTGAGGGTGGAGAATTTGTGCCTCAGCAAGGCGCTTCTGCTATTCCCAAGCACAGATCTGGATGCAAAAGCCTTTTAAACCACCTCTGTGCAGGATATGGCCCATTTATGACCTTTATGTGTTATAAATTATCGTGACACTATGTTATACTACCCACTATAAATACAACTAAAGCAACAGTTATTAAAATATACTAGTAAGGAAGAAAAAAAATGTATTTTTGGCGAGCTTGGTTCTATCAGTAGAAAACCCGTCAGGAGAATTATGCTGATTTAATGAGCCATTAGTGAATGCTGGTATTTTTCCTTGTTTTTTTTTTAGCATCTTAGGTCCTGCTGGCTATGGGTCAGGGCAGTGGCCTTTACTGCGTATTATAGTTTCCCTTGTTTTGATGTGTGGGGTTTGGAACAAGTTTATTTATTTATATATTTTCTGTACGAGTTCCCTCTCACGTGGCATACTTAGTACGTTTGGCCTTTTACTCTACGAACACTGTGAAACCCCTCAGTGGAGGTGTTCCTATTGAAGCTATGCTTTTAGCGCTTTGCTTTTCCTTTTTTATTGCATTTCGCAGGGAGGTACGTGCTGAGGAGAGCGGGCAGGAGGCCAAGGGGGGCTCCGCGGGGCCGCGCTCCCCTGGACCCACGGGGCCGCCGGCGGCTGCCTCACGCTGAAGGAGCCGAGGGCGGTGCGCGGGGAGGAGGAAGAGGAGGAGGAAGGGGAGGAGGAAGGGGCCTGCCCGCACTCTTCCTCCTCCTCCTCCTCTTCCTCCTCGCCGCCCGGCGGCGGCCTCCAGCCTTCCCGGCGTGCGCCGCGGCCGCCATAGAGCGGAGGGCCGGCCCCGCCGCTGGGCGCTCGCGGCGTGTGCGGGAGGCGGTGCGGCCGCGGCGAGATGGCGGCCGCGGGGCGGGCGGCCGAGGCGGAGCAGCACCTCAACGGCGAGCTGCCGCCGGAGCACGACGACAAGGAGGGCGCCGAGGGCGGCGCGGCGGGGCTCGGCGCGGACGATGGCGCCAGGAAGAAGCGCAAGAAGAAGAAGAAGGGCAGGGCCGGGCCCGCGGGTACGGGCGGCGCTGAGCCGAGACCCGGCCGGCGGCCTCGCACCGGGCAGGGGCCGGGGGGCCGGGGGAGCCGGCCCGGGGGGAGCCCCGGGGCTGTGCCCGCAGGCCGGCGGCTCGCCATGGTCGGGCGTTTGGGAGCCTCCCGCCCGCTTTATCTCGCCAAGGCAGGCCGGGGCCGGGGCCGGGGCCGGGGCCGGGGCTGCGCCAGCAGGCGTGGGGTGCTGGCAGGGGACAGTAAGGAGTGTGGGGGTGTGGGGGTTGTGGGGGTGAGGTGCCCTTCGTGCACGGGTCTCAGGAACAGCCCCTGTCGGGCCCTACGGGCTTACACGCTGGGTCTGCTCTAAAAAAATAAATCCCCATGTGTTCTGGTATCCGTAGGATGAGTACAGCACGCTATTTTAGAAAATATTTGGGGATTATCGCCTTCTGGCCTAGAGCTGTGATTGTACCGTAAGCCGTATTTTAATTTCACAAACAGGACAAGAAACGGATAAAGAAGTGGAAGGTGCCCTCGATGATGTAGCAAAACAATTGGATAAGCAAACACTGGAGGACAAAGACAAGGATGATGATGATGAAGGCAAGTGTAACTTCTTTTTCACGTGACGCTTCCAGGTTCAGCGTTTACCTGGACTTCCATTTTAACAAATCTACAGAGCTCTGTGTTGTGTTTGGGAAAAATGAGGTGCAGCTATATATACACTTCTTAATTTTTTTGCAGCAATTTAGCTGTCTTGCATGCATATACAAGTTTAAGTGATCACAAGTGTTGTTAAAGCATCTTGTTTTTAAGGATCTTATTACCACAGAGAAACGTTAAGATAAGGCAAACTATAAGTCGCTCTTATTTGCATTACCATGGGCAACGTAAAGTTATGTTCCAAAATTATCTTTCTTATTCTTGGTTTAGAACAAAAAATAGAAAATTGCAAGAGAGAACTTTAATGTTTCAGAGTCTTTACCGATGACATGACACATTGTCTGTAATTCTGATTTTTTTTCATTAGAACTGAACTGGGGAGAGATTAATGCACAGGCAAGGCGTACACTTTGTGTGTAGCCAATGCTACATTGGAGATGTTCGAAACAAATAACTTTGAAGTGTATGGTATTGAAATCCAGGCTGGATGCACTTTTCTGTGGGAATATCAGATAATAAAAAATGCTGTGTTTTCTTCATTTTGATGGGCGGTGTTAAATAGACATGGATTTTTAAGAAAATACATTTCTCTAGTTATTTATTTAGTTTCTTCCTTGTGAATTGGCATTAAAAGTTGTCTCAGCACCCTAAAATGTTCTGTATCATGCTCAGAAATCTAATTAGTAGATTGTCGGTGGGATTCCACATTCCAGAATTTAATTGAATAAAGCAGGTGCAGAAACTTCTTCTGAGAGAGAAGTGTTGGCATTTATAAAATTGTGACTATACCGAACATATTAAGCTATATATAGCATTCAGTTTTATATAACTAATTTTGCTGAGAAGTATATTCTGATGGATTATTTCTTCCATGCTGTATTTCAGGTTACAACATTGAAAGATAATACGATTTGTGCTATAATACTCAAGTAGGCAGTATTGAGGAAGATAGTGAAAATTTCATACAATGGAAAGAATTCTTAGATTAATATTGTTATGGCTACATCTTGGGGAAATATTGTTATTAGTAGATGAAATACAGTGTTCTTTCAACAAATATTATTTTCTTTATGCTTTCTACAGTATTATCGATTCATATTACAGTATTAGAAAGTATTTTAAAACTGCAAACGTGAAGTGATGCTGTCACTGAAATAATAGTTTCCTATTTTCCACATATTAGACTTGGATACATTTTTAGAAAAAGAATAATATTTCTTTAGATGGGGGGAAATTGTCCCTCCACTCCCTCCCCTCCTTTTTTTTTTTTTTTTTTTTTTTTTTTTTTGAAGACAACTGCATGTTCTTGCCTGTACTGGTAATCACAACTTGACATCTTAATAGTGTAGTTGTAGTAATAGCTTAGTTGTAGAGGTGTTCCTTAAGACATTAGACCAAAACCAATAAAATAACCACCCTCTTTAAAAACGAAAAAACAAAACAAAAAAAATATGACTGAGTGGCCTCAGAAATAAGCCTACGTGCTTTTTGAAATCTGTGAGGAAGTGCTTTTCAGATTTCCGTTGCAGTGAATAGATAACATTTATGCATAGTGGCAGGGTAAGTTATTAAATATCTATACCACAATAGCATAAGGATGGGCTTCAGTTTCACAGCGATCTTAAAGTGCTTTTCTGGTGAAAGGTTTTTTTTTCAATACCAGCTAAACAACCTGACTACAAACAGGGTATTAGTCAGATGCGGTAGTTATGTTTCTGGCAGCACAGTTATTCTGCAGCAATCTTCAAGGACGTGAAAGCATAGGCCCAGTCAGTTTTGCTTGCAAATGACAGATTCGTGTGCAGTGGTGTATGAAAAAGCCATGATAAGCAAATAGCAACAGTGATAACATTTAAGAAAGAAATGTTTTATTTTGTTTGTGCAGTTTAGGCCTAAGGATCTAAAAAAAAAAAAAAATCACTGATTAAACTAGAGTCACGTCTAATTCATTTCTTGGTTTGAGCAGAGCTCAAGGTCGAAAGAAATGTGGCAAATGTACCACATTATAAACAAAGAACATATGCACTGTTAAGTATTGTCAGCTGCATATGAAATACTGCTTAATGGAGAATCTGTTAGGCTGGACTGCATTGTAGTCATAAAGTATTTATGCTTTCATTTTTTTTTTAACTTTTAAAGTTAAAAAAAAAAAAGGCTGAGTATGAGTGTAGACACGTTTTTTGAGATTTTCCCCATCTGCAGGATTACAGCAGTCACTACCACGTAAATATTTCGGTGACGCTAACTATCATGAGAGGCTTGACATCTAGTGACGGGGAAAGCTGGTCAGTTTTGTTTTTTAATAAATGAGAAAATGTGAGTTGCTGTATAAATGCATTAAAAATAGTAACGTTTTGAGTTGATTGACTCCAGAAGGACTTTCAATTTTACTTTTCCCCTTAAATAAAAGTAAGTGTTCTCAGTGTAGGTGACTACCACTCAACCATTTTGAAATAAAGTTGTGGGTAGGTCCAGAATGTTTAGTCAGATCCTGTCATGTTCGATAAGTACTTCTTTGTGTATGCAGTAACTAAGCATCAGATGTAGCAAACGTGAGGTCCACGGGGTTGTTGTTAACTCCCAAATGTGAATGTAACATGGTTTGACTGATTCTTGGTGCTTGCATGCACAATCGGTGCTTTCAACTCGGTGCTGGTTGTGACTTTTCCTGTTATCTCCAAACTGAATTCTTTCTGACTCAAGAGTTGTCATCTGTACTTGCTACTGCTTTTTGTTGTGCTGTACAATAAGTTCCTGTAGCTAAAGCACTGGAAGATGTGTTTGAAGTATTGGTCCCTAACTCTTTGTTAGCTGTGGTGTCTAAAATAGTTCTCTCTGATTCCCTCCCCCACCCCAGGCATCATTTTGGGTGAATTGAGAATAGTGGTATTTGAAGTAGGACTCTCTGAGAACTCTTCCCGTGGATTGGTGGTATGCTCAAGTTGTCAACTCTTGGAAGTATTTTCTTACATTTGTGCTTAGTGTAGGGACTGAAAAAGCTAATGGTTTGGCAGCAGCTTCTGGATATTTTAAATCCATTAAATTTTGCTGTGAAAGAGATGTTTCCAGATTGTTGAGATGCTTTTGCATGCCATTCAAAATTGTTTGTTTCTTTAAAGTTGTTTGATGTTCATAATGTTGTTTTCTGTAGATGGAGAGGGTGAAGGGGATGGAGCAACAGGGAAAAAGAAGAAGAAGAAGAAAAAGAAGAAAGGACGTAGGTATCAAGCACAAAAATAAATATAGACTTTGCATAAATTTTTGGTTAAGTCTGTGTAAGTGCTGTGCTTGACGATTGAAACAAATTTTGGGATGTGGTTTGGGTCTGTAGACTGTTTGGCTGAGGTTTCTTTCTGATATTCCTGAATGCCACCTTGAGCACTGGCTAAATGTAGTCATATGAGGGCATCGTGATGGGATGTCTTCTGGGTAGAAGCTCAAATTCTAGAAGGGAGATCTTAAATAACTCGTGTTGTCTGACTTTCAAGGTTGAAATAAGAGACTTTCCACTGTACTGTGTGTAAAACTTCTAAAAATTGTACTCAACAGCTAAGGTCCAGACGGATCCACCTTCTATTCCAATATGTGAGCTATTTCCCAGCAACATATACCCAAAGGGAGAAGAATGTGAATATCCACCAACGCAAGATGGGTGAGTGCATTAAGTGTAAAAAGTAAATACCGTCATCAAGATGTGTTGGATTGCAAAGGTTTAATGTGGAACTAAATGAACAAATTTAAAATTGAGTTGGAATGTGCCTTTTATTTTTTTTTTAACTGGATCATCCAACAACTTATTGAATGGAGGTCTTCTAGACCAGAACTGTTCTTCCATCCCTGCCCTTTTAATTGAAGTATGGCCTTTATGAGCAGAATCGCCATGAAGCAGGGAACCTTAAGACCTAGGGACCAACAGGATGTCAGTAGAACAAGAAAAGAAAAGAAAAATGCAAGAAAAATGTAGTGTAAATTAAGAGTTGTGAGAAGGTTTGAAAGTTAGTGAGATGTGAGATAGTTATGCAGCAGTTTTAGGGGAGAATTTTTCACATGGTGCATGCCCGAAGGAAGTTCATATTTTAGTAACTTCTGTAGTTTGCTTTCTTGTAGAGTCAAAAGTACTAACTGAAGTGTAGAGCATGATTTTAACTGCTTTTCTTCATAGTGACTCTTCACCAGTAGCAAAGGCTTGAGGTGAAAGTTTCTGAACACAAATAGTTTTGCAAGAGACTTTTCTAAGGGTAGAGGTTGGAGAGAGATTTTGATCATAAAATAACTGCATCTTTCTAGTGTATCCCTAGTATGACAGATGAGCTTAGATTTTTTTCTTCATTTCTTTTTTTCCCTTTCTCCCCTGTTACTGAAGAAATAAAAAGAAGAACTCCAGAGTAAGAAGAAACTGTATAGAGACCTCTTAGGTTGCAATTGTGGAGTGTGAATAAATCTCTTGTTAACTGACTGGGAGAATGGCTAAACTTCTTGTGTTTTTTTTTAATTATTTTTTTTTTTAGCTAAATAATGCTCCCAGTCCTGGGGGATTCAGGAGAAGTGAATAATAAAGATGGACTCTTGGCAGGTACTAAGTGATGTGCCAGGTGAAAAACTGCCAGGAAAATATTCTTATATTGTTAGAATTAATGAAATTAATTTATATTAATAGCCATAAACAAACAAAAAAACTTCATGGGTCTTTTTTGCTTAAAGTCAGTGCTTAAAAGGGAAATCTTGTTTCAGTGATTTTATCCAACTCAAAGTCAAATCCCTCATTTACAGGATTCTTCCTACCAGTTTTCCTTTTTTTTTCCCTGATTTAAATGAATTTATGGGACATGTTTTATGGCTATTTGAAATAGATAAAAATGAAATGTCCCAGATCATGTTAAAGGAATAAAAGAAACATAACAAAATACTCCTTTTTTATAAAACCACCAGATCATCTGTATAGATGTCTAAGTACTCCAATACTTAATAGTTTGTGAACTTTTACTGATTTTTTTAAATTATTTTTTTATTATTATTAGTCTTGCTTTCCACGCATCAACGTATTAACTGTAGGTTTGGTGTAGAAGGGAGTTTCAGTGGTTGTCGGATGATTAGTGAAAACACTTTTTAAACAGGGCTGTTTTTCATATGCATTTCCAGCTCTGGTTTGCACAAACAGGCACCTGAAACTAGTTCCTACATTCATCCCACTCGTGTGGAACTCTCTTGTCTTTGCTGTGTACTACAAAGAGGGAAGATCTGTATGTGTTGCCCTGTAGTCATTTCATTGGCCTCTATATCTTCCATTTTTAAGCTCTTAAAGAAAGGTGGTGACAGATACGCAGCAGTGAATTTGCATGCTGCCAGCTCACTGTTCCTCCTTCTATTCTTATGTCACTAATTAGCATTTTGTCGTTAATATAATTTATTCCTTATAATTGTTTCCTCTATGCATAGACCTCTATACTTTATTTTCAAAAATGGGAGGGGGAGAAATATTCTTAAAATGTAACAATATTTTTCCCTGAAATTATTGGAATGAGTAAAGGAGAAGACTCATTTATAACAAATAGTTTGTCTTAAGTTTTCATGTGTCTGTTTGATTGAGATACTAGAAATTAATAATTGTAGTCCCCAACTGCATTCTGTGGTTAAACTAAAGAGGAAAAGGCAGCCTAATAAGTTCGTCCACTGTTTGTTTTTTTTTCTTTGTAGGGACACGTCAGTCACGGAGTAGGAGAGAGTTTAGTGAGAGCTGAATTTAAAAGCCTAAGTGGCATATTCTGCACTTTGCTTGTCTTTGTATGAATATGTAGGTGTTATAACCTGCCCTGTCTTTTACGTTTCATAGTGGCATAGGAGTAATGTACAATTTCACTAAACAAGCCAAACCTTGTAGTGGTGTACAAGAACAGGTATCTGCATCCTTACAATTTAAGAGGGTGCTACTGTTGCCTTATGCTTTGTTAGGAAATAGAATATACCAACCAGCTTTAGTGAGCTTCCTGACTTTTCCTATGGAAAGTGTTGCGGAAGGTCACTTTTTATCTGTGTGGAGGGTGGGGGAAGGCAATCAGCTTGAAATGCATGAAAGTCTGAATGAAAAGACCAAATAAGATTTTACAAACTTCGCAGGAAACTTTGGATCAAAACTCTGGAAACACAAGTACAAATGGGAGGGCAGTAGATAAACAATACTTTCCAAAATATAAATGTTATTTTTCAATGAGTGTTTTTTCAAAAAGTAATTTGAAACGCTTCCTAGTTGTTTAAAGCCATTACCCATTTTTTATAGAGTATGCAGTGTAGTTCAGAGTTCAGTACGTCCCATAAATTGTGTTCAGGTACTGACAGATAATACGGTTTCACTTTCAAGAAATTTAAATATCTTTTTGAGGAAGCCTTTCTTCTCTCTAATGACTGCAGTTTGATCACAAGGTATGTTCGTATTTATTTATAAATGACTGCCTTCTTTGTATGCACTTGTGTTCACGTGCTAATGGTAGGGCTTTCACAGGGTAGTCCTGAAGGGCTGATCCAGGAATGACTCTTTTCATGCCTAAGAGTTGAGCGTTTGTCTGTGTATGCATATGTCACATTCAGAAGGGCATCGTGTAAGTACTTCAGGAAATTAGATTATAAACACTGCAAGCATGTTCATAGCTTTGTAACAAATGACATACGATTTTTACACCTCAGTTCCTTAGCCAGCTATTGAAGATTAAATGCTTAGCTTTGGGTTTGCTACTACTCATTTGAAAGAAGCTTTTCTAGCAGGATATAAGTGGAGCATCTTTTCTGTACTCAAAATGTTCTTCTGAGAGTGAAAGAATATATACTTCTAAGGAACCTGAATTGGGTTTTTTATATAATTTGCTTAAATTTGCTTAGTTTCATTCCTAATGTAAATATTAAAGTCTTAATGGTGCTACTTCAGCATTTCCTAGCATAAGCAGTTACTTAAATTAGTGGCTGACATAAACACTAAAATATTTCCTACTCTGAATAATATTTATTTTATATTGGTGTGGCATCTTAGTGCCGCTTCTACTGTTCATGCTGAGGTCAGTCAGGTTTTGTCTTTGATTTCAGAAAAGGTCTGTGCTTCTAGTCTTAACTCTTCATATCACGTACTTTCTCATCAACCTAGAATTCTGGATTTTGTTCAGGAAGCTGAACTAAAAATGGGTATTGTTCAATTTTCAGGGGAAACAATAGCAGAGAATCAATTTTTTTTATAGGCAACAGTCTAAGAGCTTTGATGTTTTTATGTCTCAGATATCGAGTTCTATTTGAAAGCGTGCATTTTTGTTAAAGATGCCTGAATTGAAATGACTACATGAAGGGCAGGAAAGCTATGAGCAGTTTTTCATGATTTGGTAAAGCTGGTGTAAGAAATTTGTGTCCCTACGTGTTTGTTTCTGTCTCTATGCTATTATCTGGGTTAAAATACTTTGGGGGAATCCTTTTGTAGGATTCGGATCTTCGATCACTAAAATCTGCTTTACAGCACAATCCTAGAAAAAGTTGTACTAGTGAAAACTGGGGGCTGTGAACTGGAGTGAAAGGCAGGAACAGCTTGGAGCAGGAGGTGAACTTCTTAAGCTGGTTTATGTGGTAGCCTAGCACATTAAGAAGGAAACTCCTCAGAAAAGCTTGTTACCTACTCCTGTGCCTGTTAACTGTTGGGATATTTGAGGTGAGACCTTTGTCTGTTCAATTGGTCTTTACTTGTTTTATTCTTTCCTCTCACCTTCACGTGTCCTGAAGTGCTTCAGCCCGAGCAGTATTTCTAGTAGCCTCCTTTCCTAAGCTCCCAGATGGCCATTTGGCAGCAAAATACTTAGGGTCTGATAAAATGCCTTTAACTGCAAAGGTTGCTTTGTCCCCTAGTTGTCTTGCACAAAGTGACTGTCTGCTGAAATAGAGTATGATAGAGTGAGACCAGTTTCCTGCCAGTGTGCTGGAGTTTGCACTGAAGGCCACGGCTGTTGGCAGGCCAGCTGCCCGGGCTGGCAGCAGCTCTTGCTACCGGAGGGTGTTCCGTGCTGGAATCCGGGGCAGCTGGAAAGGGCCCTTGGGTCCGTCTCCCTATCGTTTTTCTGCAGTGTGCCTTTTCTATCTCGTGTGACATGACTGGGGTGCTGGCTGTAGCCCAATTTTAAAGTGCAGCTTGCAGACTCAGGTGGTGCAGCCTGTTGCCTTGTTTTGGTGGAATTTATCAGTTTTAAGGCAGGTTCTGTGAGTTAAGGGCAGTGTGTACAGTGCTCATTGGAGCAAGAAGACTGCTCAGAACAGCGAGCATGGAATTACTCCCTTTGCACTGCTCTTGCTTTACAGTCAACTTCTTGTCAATCAAAGTCCCCAGACCCATTTCCATGGGGCTGCTCCCCAGCTTCCCATCCCCCCTCATGTATCTATATCCAGGGTTGCCCCTTCCCAGGTACACAATCCAGCACTTGCTCTAGTTAAACTTCATGTAGCTGGTGATCACCCAGCCCTTGAATTTGTTGAGATTTCTCTGTGGCCTCTGTCCTGAAAGGAGTCGGCAGCTCCTCCCAATTTAGCATTATTCACAAACTTGCTTAGTCTTGTCTGTAAGTCATTGATGAGAACACAGAAGAGAGCTGGCCCTGAAATGGAGCTCTGTGGAGGAACCCCACTAGTGACTGGCTGCCAGGCTGATATAACCCCATTTACTGTAACTGCTATAAAGGTAAAAGTTGATTTCACATTCCAGAAGCTTTGGCATAGTTCAGCATCTTTGGCCTGTCTTGTCCTCCATTGCTTTTCCTTTAAGACTTACCCCTGAGGATGTGCAGATGCTTACTGTTTTTAGTAGTACTCCTCCCGCACAAGGTGTATGAAGGTCTTTGAGTCGTTGTTGGGGTTTTCTTTGTCATTACAGGGCTTCAGCTTCGCTATTTGAAGGTTATCTATTTCATAGGCAGAGAAGTAGTCCTTTAATTAGGTTCTGACAGTTGATAGAGTGCTTAAATTACTTTATTTTTTCCTCTTGGAACTGTGGTTGTAAGGTCTCTTGCAGAACAAAAAAATACTCAAAATTAATTTTATATTTAGTGTGTTGTATTCAAAATTATTCTTGTATTTGTTCTGTGAACCTATCAAAGAGACCAAGTTCCAGGATAATGGTATTTTCCTGTAACAAACGTTAATTCACAGTCCAGCAAATCCCAAAAGTAGCTTCCTGGCAGGTATCACAGTTACCATGCATGCACTGCATGAAGTATAGTTACATAAGTATTGTGAGGCTGGACAAAAACGTTGCTGAAAATGCAGGCTTTTAAATTTTGAAGGAGCTTGTTGTCTGCATTCGTGATGGTTTCTGGGCAAGCAGCTTCTGTGCCAGGATTCTTCTCTGAGCACTGCTAGAATGGAAGTAAAATCACACAAGTAAGAAACCTCTTGCCTGAGCAGAGCAGTGTTGCAGTGAGTTGTACTGCTAAGCTCAAGGTACAATTGAGCACGTTGGTACGAATTTTATAGGCCTGTCCTATCTCTTTGGAGAGCAGCGTGCATCAGTTCAAGAATATTACTTTGGGCTTTGGGGAAGGTTGGAAGGTAAGGCTTTCAAAAATGCAAAGGGAATAATTTGGTTTGCAGTATAACTGAGTTAACCTTACATGTATGCATAATGAATTTTTTTGGCTGCAGGGTTAACACCTTTTCACCGGTGCCAGTATGTGGTGCTGATTAATTTTTATAGGCTTCCTTTATTCTGAAAAATGTATAAACTATGTCTTCTGTTGACTTAGAATGTAGGCCTGACTGGTTAATAAATGCTTTGCAGTTTAGACAGAAATTATAACTTCTACTGTGGTTATAGTTGCAATAACTTTTCATGACATGCTTTATTTTGAAGGCGAACTGCAGCTTGGAGAATAACCAGTGAAGAAAAGAAAGCACTAGACCAAGCCAGTGAGGAAATCTGGAATGATTTTCGGGAGGCTGCAGAGGCACACAGACAAGTGAGGAAATATGTTATGAGCTGGATAAAACCTGGAATGACGATGATAGAAATCTGGTGAGGACATAGATCTTCTCAAAGACTTCTGCTACTGATTTTTCTTCTTTCTCCAGAGTGTGTGTGCGGGGGGGGGATTTAGTTTCAGTTTTGTGTGCCTAATTGACTGTGTCATGAGTGTTTTGGAGGTTTCCATTTGAAGCATGCAAACAGTATCCCTAGTGAACTTCAAGTTTCCTCTTACAGCAGATTCATAGCTTACGCAGCTTTACAGGGCCTGAGATCATACTGAATGCCAAACAGCTTTCATTTATGCTCAGTTACTTTGAGCTTGATTTTACTGTTCTCTGCCCTTGCTACTTGTGCATGCGAGTTCTGCAGCAGTGCAGAGAAGCAGTGATAGCGGAAGCTTTTCTCGCTTTGTCAAAATTGGAAGAGAAATGTTACGTGGATGAGCATAGCAGGTGCAGTCTGTGGCTGGGAGGTACAGAAACTGCACAGGCATAGATGCAGTCCAGGGCAGTAGGATTTCGTCTGTATTTCATCTTCCCTGACTAATGTTTCTGAAGGAATGCAACAACACTACTTGTGTTATTCTCAGTTTCTAAGAAATAACTGAACAAATTGGTTAAAATAAACAAGAGTTTGGCTAAGGTAAAGCTTAAAGAAATAATATGCCTGGACAGATTCTCTTGACTCTTCCAACTATTGCTTCCTCTATCTTTTGGTTTATCTGGAGTGAATGTCTGCTGTCTGAGTATTGCACAAATCCAGGAGGGTTTAGCTTCCAAATACAGGTGCTTCCAGCCTGATACAGCAGAGGACTGTGTTGACAAGAAAGATAGTAAGAAAGCTTATCAGAGCTGAGCCCCGAGATAACTCTGTGAGGGGAAGTGGAAGGAAATAATATGCTGTCAGGGCAAGCAGAAGACAGACAGCTGCCTTAGTAATCAGTTCTCTGGCTGAAACAAATCTGTCATGTTGAGTACGTAGTTTGACTATTTAAGTTATAAGCAATAATTTTCTCAAAACATGACTTTTCTTCCAAGAATACTTAAGGCTGTGGGGACTTGCCTATTAAAATAAGCTCTTTTCTTTTTCCAGACTGCACTGAGTGAATAGCTCTCTTAAATGAAATCAGAACATGCTGCACTGATGCGAGTTGCAGTTTGCATCATTCACAGTGACTGTAGGGGTATGCACTGATGGACAGCCATCTGTAGCCTTCCAGTGGCCAAAAACTTGAGAGTAGCCAAAAACCAAGGACAAGTGCTAGTCTTGTAAGGTTGTATTTTTATTGCAGTTATTCCTTAAGTTAAATTAACATAAAGCCCTTCTTTAATCGGATTTTTTTAATGAATGAGAAGACTATATTACTGCTGCTTTAACAGTTACCAGGATATAACTTTAAGGAAAAAAAGTAGGGCATTTGGTTTGGGCAAACTTTAATTTAATAACTGTTACTCTGGAAGAACAGGGTAAATGTAGCTTATAAAAGATGCATCTTCTCAATTTAGATTAAAAACAGTAGTGAAGTGCTTGATGTTGCCCACAAAAAAGTAGAAAAAACAACACAGAATTGAAGATAATGACTGTGCTTGTTTTCCAGTCTAGGGTCTCTTTCTAATTAGCATAGAAGTACTTAAAGATTTCAAATGAAGACTATTTTTTGAGGTGTTGTTCTTGCTTTATTTTATTTAAAGTCATCAAAAGAAATAATGACACTTATCTGTTTTTTTTTTCTTCTCCTTCCCCTCTGCTCTTAGCGAAAAACTTGAAGACTGCTCACGTAAGCTGATAAAGGAAAATGGCTTAAACGCAGGCCTTGCATTTCCTACTGGGTGCTCTCTGAACAATTGTGCTGCCCACTACACTCCCAACGCAGGAGATCCAACAGTGCTGCAGTATGATGATATTTGCAAAATAGATTTTGGGACACATATTAGTGGTTAGTTCTTCATTTGAATTACATTTTTTGAAAATATTTTTCAGTGCAAAAACCGTGAAACTAATTAACTTCTGATTTCAGGTCGTATTATTGACTGTGCTTTTACAGTCACATTCAATCCAAAATATGACAGACTATTACAAGCTGTAAAGGATGCCACTAATACTGGAATAAAGGTATGATCGTTATGCAAGTTGTCTACTGAGTCTTTTACAGTGAGCTTTGCAGATATTTTTCCACTTACATTTGCACTTCATTTTTAGTGTGCGGGAATAGACGTACGTCTCTGTGATGTGGGGGAGGCCATACAAGAAGTTATGGAGTCCTATGAAGTTGAAATTGATGGCAAAACATACCAAGGCAGGTTCTTTTCTTTACTATGTATATATGTTTGTATAAATACTGATTTGGATTTGTTTGTATCATAGTGAAAAGACCTCTGTACTAGAAGCATGGTATGAGTAACTTGCATAAATACATGTTTCTCTCAGGTTTGTTGGACTTTAAAGGAATGTTCTTTGCTTGTCCTTCCAAGTAGTGTGTCTTTAATAGATAAGATGAGGGATAAGAAACTGTTTCAAAATATACAAATAATGTGATACCTGCTGTCTGGCTTATTAATAACTTTCCTTATTGTTGAAGTCACTAGTCTTTAGTAATAGCTTTGTGTACTGTGATCAGTCTTACTTGGCTGGAATCTGTACGAGATGTATGGATAGTTTTGCGTTTAGTTCCTATGCAATACGGTGAGGCACTGCTGTAGTTTTAATACGGGCTAATAAATCAAATTGCATTGAAGGGTTTAGCATTTAGTTAAGGAGCTGCCTGTAATACTAATGTTTTCCTTCAAAAGTGAAACCAATTCGTAATTTGAACGGACACTCAATTGGGCCGTACAGGATACATGCTGGAAAAACCGTGCCCATTGTGAAAGGAGGAGAAGCCACAAGAATGGAGGTAAGTAGTTTGTAAATTTTTCTGTGAAGTTTCCCAACTGTCATTTCAAGAGTAAGTATTTCCTGTGTGGCCCTGATGGGTCGTATTTGTGATCCTGGTGGCTGATAACTGTAGAGGAAAACTTGAAACTTACGGAAACTTTTGCATGTTTATTTCTGTGTGTATGTGTTAGTTGGAATGTTGCACTTAGGAGCAGGGATAAGGACAGGAACTCAGGACTGGGGTGAACCTGAGGGACCAGAGGCTGCACAGAAGCTATTTGGACTTGCTGGTCACTCACTTTTTCCTAGTCTGCTCTGTAAAAAAAAAAAAGACAAAATTAACAATTTTCACTTGCTAGGTAATTCTTGGGAAATATTTCTGCAATGTTGTAGCTATGGATGACTCTTCAAATACAGCTAAATACAACATCTGTCACGAAAAGCTTCCAGTGTATTTTCCTTTGCAGATGTGAAATAGTTGAGCATATTTTAGTTAATGTGAGAGGTTAGGTGAAAGGTGCTGTTTGAATAGGGTTTTGGATTGAGGAAAGGGGATTGTTGTACATGATGCAGCAAGGTACAGAAATTAAAGAAGACAGTAGAAAGATGCATAATTTCAGATTTATCCACTGTTTTGATGTAAGCTTGTGTTCTAACAAGATGAGAAAGCTGATTTAAAAGATTGGTAATGCAATAAGAAGCTTTTAATTTAATTCTAAGCCTGACCACCGATAAGCAGTGATCACTAGTAAGCCTGTCAGAGTAAACAAGGCTTGTATGAGCTGAGTGGGAGCAGGTATGGGCTGGACAGCATTGTTTTTTGAGATAGGCTTGCTCTCATTGCCCAAAAGTTATATAATTTTTGTTTAATGTTGTGAGCAGAAAAATATATTTTCAGCTGTTGTCTTGTTTCTAAGACTGTGCAGAAAGGGTAAAGAATACTGGGAAGACAAGGAGGAAACAGCACTTGTTTGTATCGTGCCCTTGTTTTAGCTTTATGAACGGCTAGGTCTTGGCTATCATCATCATCAGTGTATCAATAGTATTAAACTTGTGTTCTTTAAGAAAATCTTACTTAAAGATTTCAGAGCTTTAAGGCTGCTTTAATTGCATATCCAGACACTGGGGAGAAGATATTTTTTAATTTCTTCAGCTTCTGGAGGTTACTTAGGACACAGTCTGACACCACTAAAGATGGTGAGTTTTGCCAGTGAAGGATGTGGAGCATAGCCAGGCTCTTACTGTACTGTGCTAAGTATAGTATCAGCTGCAACCCAGGGAGGTTTTTTTGTGACAGAGAGGAATACAGCCTCTGACAGTCTTTATTCTGAAAAAGTGGGTGTGAATTTTTTTGGTGACACTTTGAGTAGGTTGTCTTTGTTTTTATTAGATCAGTTGAGTGTTCAGTGACATCTTTAAGAGTTTGTATTTAATTTGAAGCCTCTGTTATTCTTTGTCATATGGCTTTTTATTTTCAAAGTAGTCTAATAAATAGGGAAAAGAAAACAGTTGTAGTTGTTTGATGCACTATCCTGTTTGTGTGCCTTTCACAGTCCTGCAAATAAGGATATGTGAATGCACTTGGCAGAAGGGAGTTTATGTAATGGCATTTCAGCATGTTCTTGGCTAGAATTTTGGTAATGCCCTTGCAGATGTAGATCACCTTCATTTGTTGAAGAAATCCATCTTGTGGACTGGAATTCACCAGGTTAAGGGTTTATACTAGCAGCTGCTACCAGAAAATTCTTGCAGAAATTGAGCAGAAAGTTCCTCAATGCAGTAATTCTTTGTAATCACCTTGTATTTGCTATGTCTAAACTACACATTTCTTAGGACTGCTATCTGAATAGCAAAGGAGAATTGCTCCCACTCAGCAAATATTGTGCAGCAGTGTAGTTTCATAGCTATGGTACATGCTTCAACAACGTTCCAGCTGCAGTGACTTGACAAATTGTGACTTAGAAACATGCCGATATCTATGGCTTGAAACAAATAAGATGGTATTAATAAAAACAGCTGATTATTTGGAGGTCTGTAAATTTATCATGTTAAGTGTCCTTACTGATTTTTTTTTCCCTCTAAATTGGTTTGGTGATTGAAGCTATTTGCATTTAATTACTTGTAATCATAGATTGTTACACTGAGATGGTTGTATCAGAATGGCCTGGTGTTACTTATTTCATTTATATTAACATGTTCTTTTTTTTCCTTCTTTCTTAGGAAGGTGAAGTATATGCTATAGAAACCTTTGGTAGCACAGGGAAGGGTGTTGTTCACGATGACATGGAGTGTTCTCATTATATGAAGAACTTTGATGTTGGGCACGTGCCAATAAGGTTGGGAATTTTTTTTGTTGTTGCTGTTCAGTATATTGTGCTACAGCTGCCACCCTCTTTGGGTTCAGATTTGATGAGACAGAGTTCCTTCACTAGTTAATAATGCTTTCAAAGGATTCAAAGGGTATTGTTGGGAATGTTCTTGTTATGAAATGTGTTCTGAAACAAGCACCTGAGCTCAGATTGTAAATTTGGAAAAGCAAGGAACTATTCTAACATACCTGAAAACGGAGAAGACGTGATCTTCAGGAATTTTGGTCCTTATAATAATACATAGACCTTGGTGGTGTATCGGACTATATAAGATGTATAGACAAAAAAAAAATCTTTATTGTGGTTTTGTGCCATAATCTTTGTCTTAGTGTTGTCCCCAGAATATACTGAGCTATTCAGGTCACTTGTTTTGTTTGGGTAGGTATCTTGTGGTTTTTAAATTTCAGGCTTGGTGTATTGCTATAAAATTAAATGGCACATGGTTTTCCAGTTTTCACTAAAAACGTAAGTGTTTAGCATTTCTAGGACTGTGACATTTTCTGAACTGAAGACTGTTATGGTTAGAAACATAGCAGGCTGAGATGCTATTCCAGATACTTGTCTCCATAGAACAATCTAATAATATGAAAAAAAGAGGGGTGGGAATACACTTAACACAGTGGTTGGGAACAGTGATGTTTGGACATGAGTTTATTTCTTACTCTATCTATAAATGTCTAATGTTGACATTCATATATTGTAAGAAATAGGAGTGAAAAACTTACCAAGTATTTGACTTCAAAAAGAAAACTTGGGAATTTTTAAACCACTGAGCTTACTACCAAATCAGTTCAGAATATTAACCAGCTTGGATGGGGAAGAGTTCTGCTTTTCTCTTTAAAAAACAAAACAAAACAAAACAACAAAGACATCCTTAAATATTTAAGAGATGAATTCCTGCCATTGCGTTTCATCTTGCCTGGGTAGTGAGATGGCGATATGTTCACAATGAAACTTCCTCTGTTTGGTATGGTTGGCCAGTGTGCTTGGCAGCTTTCAGGCTTGTTTTGAAGGATGTCTTTTCTCAGTAGGAAAACGCACTTTCTTTTGTGACCAGAATGTCTGGTTGGTGTGGAAAAACATCCCAGGACTGCGCAGTCCTAACACACTTTGGAACCTGAACTATTTTTTAATCAGTGTTTTATTTCTGTGGTGAATGCTTGTTGGTGTTGCCCCTTTTTTCTCAAATGTGTTCTTCTTTGTTTTCCCCTAGGCTCCCAAGGGCGAAACACTTGCTAAATGTTATCAACGAAAACTTTGGTACTCTTGCCTTCTGCCGCAGATGGCTAGATCGCCTGGGAGAGAGCAAATACCTAATGGCACTGAAGAACCTGTGCGACTTGGGTATAGTGGATCCATATCCTCCCCTGTGCGACATCAAAGGCTCGTACACAGCGCAGTTTGAGCACACTATACTGTTGCGCCCAACGTGCAAAGAGGTTGTCAGCCGAGGAGATGACTACTAAACTCAAAGCCACCTCAGCACCTTTATACACTAGGCTTTGTTGGAACATATTATACCAGAATTAATTTGCAACATATTGTCTGTTTTAACAGTGGACTGATGTAATACTTTCCATATTTGGAAAGGAAGTAATTTAATTAAAGGCAAGTCTTCTAATGTAACTAACCAAGGAAAAAGCTTTCAGGCCTTTAGAAATATTTCAAAAGTTACTTATTTTTTCTGTTCAGGGAAATATGTGCTATAAAGCTCAATTTTTAGTTTGGAATGAGTTATACATTTTGTTTTGAACATTTATGATAAAAGATGCTTTTCAAATATTTATATTACCATATTCCTACTTGAATGCTTTGAATGACTACACCTGATTTCTGCGCCTAAGTCCTCTATGATATTGCCTTTTAAACTTCCTGGAATCCATTTTGTAAAAAAAATAAAAAATAAAGACAAATTTTCAGATCTAAAAATATATATACTTTTTAGAAGTCTGGTTATGATTCTGGTCAGGAGTCTGCTGGGAAACTGCTCTATTAAATATTTTACAAACTTGATTTGCCGTTTTTTCTCTCAAAACTGGAACTCTCTCGTCTTTAAACTGAAACTCTTAGCCTTAACTTAAGGTTTTGCATTTTAATGTTGTATTCAGTTTGTGGCAAGGTTTTGGTAGCGGGGGGCTGCAGGGGTGGTATCTTTGAGAAGAGTTCAGGAGCTGCCCCATTGTGATTAGAGCTGGTTCCAACCTGCATGGAAAGGGGACCTCCCCCCCAGTGGCCAAAGATGAGCTAATGGGTGATTCTGCTTGTGCCTCCGTGATGTTTAAAGGCTTTAAAAAATCAAACCAAAACACTGCTGTGCCACTCTGCAGTAGCTGGGAGAGAAGAGAAAGAACGAGACAGCCCTGCAGACGCCAAGGTCAGTGAAGAAGGAGAGGAGGTGCTCCAGGTGCTGGTGCAGGCTGTCCCCGAGCAGCGCGTGGAGGAGCACAGTGCATCAGATAACCACGCTGCAGTCTGTGGAGGACCCCACGTTGGAGCAGGTGCATCTGGGCTGTGGAGAGCCCACACAGGAGCAGGCTTCTGGCAGAAACTGTAGCCCACAGAAAGCCCACATGGGACTGGGTTTCATGGCAGGAACTACAGCCTTGGGGACTCATGCTGGAGCAGCTGTGAAGAGGCTACAGCCTGTGAGAAGTTCACGCTGGAGCGGCTTGTGAAGGGCTGCACCCCACAGGAGGTAACCCACATGGAGCAGGAGAAGAAGGAACGGCAGGGATGAGGTGTTACAAGCGGACTGCAACATCCATTCTTCGTCCCTCTGTGCTGCTCAGGGAGGGAGGAGGCAAAAGAATTGGGACTGAAATTGAGCCTGGAGATGAGGTGTCTTTAGTTTGCTTGTAGTTCTTATTTTCCTACTCTGTTACTGGGCAATAAATTAATTAAATCTTCCCTTCCCTAAGCCAAGTCTGTTTTGCTCGTGAGTGAAACTTGAGAGTGAGCTCCCTGTCTTTATCTCAACCTGCGAGTTGTTTCATGGAGTTTTCTTCCTCTGCCTTGCTGAGCCACCTGGTGGGTACCTGGTGGCTGCCAAAGGTCAACCCAGCACAATTGTTTGAGTGGTGTTGTCTGTGCTGGGAGTCAGGGCAGTAAGTTACCTGCTGATTCCAGGACAGAACGTGACAACTACAGTAGAGATGTGCAATACGATTTGGTTTTGAGTATGGCAGTCTTCAGTTTTGACGTTCTCTCTGTTGGAAGGTGCCTGCGTTCTGTGGTCTCTGCTGCTGTTACCAGCAATGTGCAACTTCTTGCTGAAGTCTACCTGTGAGTGTGTTTCTATCCCGTTACATCCTTTGTCATGGGTATGCCCTTTTGCATGGAGTGAAATTTCCTTTGATGTGGTTCCTTGTCTCCTTAAAGTACACATTAAATTGGACTAGTTGTGGGGAAAATGAAGATGTTCCTTTTTTTTTTCCCCTGACTGTTGGAAGATATTTCGTACAGCAAATTGATCGGAATATTTGGTGTTTCCTTGACATGAGGTCATTATCTGTCTGCTGGTGAATCTCATTTGCAAACCTGAATTAAATCCCATGGCTCTCCAGGCCTAGATCGCAGTATGCCTTCCAATGTTGTATGTTCACCTTAGGGCTCTCATATTTAAAATTTTACATAGTTACTGGTAACAAAAATGAGAGCTGCTTTACTAGGTCAGTAGTACTGCCTTAAGTGTAACTGCTCAGGAAATAGGGAGACTTCACCTGCTCCTTTGTGGTGACAGCCTGTGTTTAGTTGTAAAGTTCGTATTATGTTAGAACCAGCATTTCTTTCCCTCTTTGCATTTTGGTAAGAGCTGCATTTAGCTTTTAAAGCCGCAGTATGGGAGCTGAAGTTCGGTGTCATGTGCTGTATAATGTTTAAGCATAGTAGATAGATATAAGCGTTTTGTTTTTATCTGTGTATCGCTTAAACTGTAGTGCTTGTAGAAACATGTAATAGGATACTGAAATTTGTATTTGTTGCTGCCGTGTGGGAGTATTGGCATCTCAGCAATGAGTTCAAAGTAATCTGAGCAGCTGTGTGGGCACGTCTCTCAACTTCCCAGCACACAGCAGCAAGTGCCTGTGCTCGTACGTCGCAGAGTAAAAACTGGCATTAGAGAGGATCTGTGATGAGCAGGGTTGCTGGATGCGGTGGCTGACGCTATTTTTATTTATACTAACAGGGCTGTACTGCTGATGCGCTTTTTGACTCAATCCAAACAGCTTCTGCTAGAATTCAGTTTCCAGCTCGCTCACCCTATTTTTGTAACAAGCGTGGTTGCTACAGATACTGCTAAAAACAAGGCCGCCAAGCCCACCTCAGGTCTCAGCCACTGCTTGCAGACTTCTCGCTAGGCTGTTAGCAGCTCATTGACATTTGTTCCTACAGTTTAAAGCTTTTTTTAATTTTCATGAGGAACACTTGGTACTGCAGCTCAGAGATGTGTTTTCCTCCTTTTGTCTCTTCTTTCCCCAGAACCAAACAGGAAGATCCAGACTAGCACAATTACTTGGAATGATGGGCCTAGGCTTGTAACTTTTTGATGTACTTACTGTTTGCTAATCCACACATGGAAGTGGAATATCATGTGTAACCAATCCTGGCGGAAATGGCTTGCATCTGTTGCACCCTGCCTCAGAAGAATACACGAGGATTATTTGTTTCTATTAACTTTAATTGAGTTTGTCTGGATGCACGCTTCCTGTGCTGCTCCCCATTCTGCATTTACATGCCAGAGGTGAAAGCAAGCTCTATTTTCATGTCCTTGCACCACATACAAAAAATATTCCTTTATGCTTTCATGATCCTCAGGCTGCCTTTTCCTATGGCTGGAAGTAATCACAAAGTCCTGGCCATGCTGTCTGATAACTGGACACCACTGTCTTTGTCACTTGATGAAACCAAAGTTTATCAAAGACTTTTCAGTCAGATACTGAAGTATCCAGAAGATTGGCATCATCACAAAGCTTCTCGAGTCTGTGCAGCACCAGAAAAGGTAATGCTTTGTGTGCAGAGCACATTTATTACAAGTGTTGAAGCAGTGGGTGTGCTGCTTTTCATGCAGGTCTTGTGAGACAGAGATGTCATTAAGGAATACAGTTTAACCTCACGTTCTGTTTTGATGAAAGCATTTTTCCAACCAGAGATTGATTTTAGACTCAACACATATGCATCTCTTCTTGGAGGGGGCGGGGGGGTGGCTGGTTGTTTTTTTCCTTCCTGCTTTTTGATCGTGTTTGAGTACTTTCAGCCAAATAAGTTTCCTGTTACCTTTATGCAGTCTTGTGCTAGTTTTCTGACTGTACAATAACCAAGTTCTTTTGCCTTGTGTTCAGCTGCCTTAACAGCACTGCAGTGTACTGGGTGTGGGCAGTGGGTGCTGCCAGGCTGAGGCAGCCTTTACCAGTTTTTGATGTTGTTGAAGCCTGTCCCCTCTGCCTGTGCGAAAGGAGCGGGGTGAGGCGGAAGCTTTTGACTGCAGTTTGCAAAAGCAAAGTGAACTGGACTTTGACTCATCAGAGCTCTCCATAAAATACTTGCATGGAGGAAGGCAGAACGTAAGCAGGTAGATTTAGATCGTGCTTAAGCTTTGCTCTAGGTAAAAGTAGTCCTTGGCTTAAAGAAAAGCACCAAGCTGCTGTTGTGCACTCAATTAGGATAGCAGAAGGCAAAGAAAGCTTGAGATCTATGGTGACTATGTGTTCACTAAAATATAGCGCCATTCAGTAACATAAATCCTTCAGTGCCATTGTTATTTAACTTAAAGTTATGAACAAAACCAGTGTTAAATCAGTGACAGATATCCAAAGCAGTCTTGTAGTTAATGCCTCAACCCCCATTAAGCAAAATTTTTTAAATAATTTCAGTAGACACCCGTCTTTATGTCCACATCAAGGCATTTTATTGAGGTATAAACTTTGCAGAAGATGAGGTAACAATTTGCATAGGACTTATGCAAAATAACTTCACAATTAAAATTTACTTGGCATTAACTACTGCATGTGGAGAAAGACTGATTCCCGCTTGTTAGATTCTCCTCGATGCACACTTCTGTTAATGCTAGTGGTAGGACCATGGAAAAGGTACAGCAGTTGTACGAAAGCACTTCGCACCTGACTGGTTTCATCAACTACAACTCTTACAGCTTCTTTTTAATGGCTTGTGAAACAGAAAATGCTACAATTTTAAATAAGCTTGTCCAATTTAAGAAAGGAGATGCTAACAGTCTTGTCACACTGACTGGGCAGGGTGGAGATGTCTTTCTTAATAAGCTTTCTTAAGTTACTGGAATAAAAAGGCCCTGGTTGTCAAAATCAATACTTTGGATTTGGCACTTGAATTTTAAATCATCAGACTCATTAAGGCTAAAACATGCAAGTCTTAGTAAACATGCATTCTTGTGCTATTGAACACTCCTCCTGAAACACTTGTATGAAAGTAAGTATGTGCTTATTTCCTTAATTTCAGATTTTAAGGAAATCCATCAGTGTAGCTTTAGTGTAGCTCACTTGAAAGCCTGGGGAGAAGCCTGCACATAAATTTCATTTTAGTCATGAAGAACATACAAAAAGTTTCTTACAAAAAGTTCAGTTTCTATTTGACATGTAGAACATTCTTTGCAGGTGAATGTTAATATTCTAAGACCTAGTAACAATTCCTGCAGACAGTAAGAGTCTTGATACCATTAAAACTACGCTATAAAATGTACACAAGCATATACAGAAAATTAACCAGAGAAACATCAGTTATCCATTGAAAGTCATTTTTCTAAACCAATTCAAAAAGATTATCAAAATACAAAAACAGCTTAAAAAAACAGCCTGAGGTAAGAGTTAAATGCAAATGGCAATCTTTTTCTTAAAAAAATAGCTGTATTGAAATTCTAGTTACTTAGAAAGTTACTTACTGTCAATAAAAACTTTTACTAACAATTGTAAAGAGTATTTTACCTAATACAAAAGTATATAAACATTGTACACAAAGTCAGAAAGTACAATACTGTACTTACATTTAAAAATATATAGTGACAAGAATTCAAACTTTACCATACACACAGTTAATTGACTTTGGATTAGCTGCTACTGTTCTCCACAGAGCAGTCAGCTAATTCTGTGTGCTGCTGACTTTCAGCTGTGCTAGGACATACTTTACCATGTCCGTTTGCCTGAGTAAGTCGTTGGCTGTAAAACAAAATGTAGGCTTGAGCCTTGCATACTTCTTCCATAGTGCACATGTTGAGTTTTGAATCATTGCAGTGTACCCAAAATCCTAGAATGAAGGAAGACACCACAGGAACAAAAATAAAAACACATCACAACACTGTTTGGAGGCGAGTGCATTGTACTTAATTAATTAGTGCTCAGTCTCTTTTAAACAAGAGTTGCTTTGACATAGTATACAGTTTCTGTTGATCTAGTATATTTAAGTATTAAAAGCCCACCTTAACTTCCTCAGATTTACAAGAGAGTTTGTAGCCAGAACAAGCTGAACTAGCCAATACAAAAACTGGACTGTGTCGGTCTACAAAACTGAAATTCTCATCCCAGGCAGTTCAGCTACAAGCAACTCCCCTTCTGGTTTCAAGAAACCGTAAATTTATCAGATTAGAACTTACCAACACCCCTCTCCCATGCTTCTTAATTCACAATCGGTTCCTACCTCCTTCTGAATTGTAGCAGTAGGCAGTGTAGTGCCCTGAGCCAAATCCTTTCCCGTGATGCATGACTACAGCGGATAAGTCGTAGATAAAGCAGTCAGGTAGGAGAGTCTTGAGGGATTCTCTGCAGCAGTAAGGCTCCATGTTCAGCATCTGATCAAAATTCACATGCACACCAATCTTTTCACGATGATTGCGTCCTGACCACCTGGAAAATTAAATCACATGAAAACGTGTATTTTTTTCAAAAAAAAAAATCATAATACTGTGTTCTTAAAGGTTATCTTTGCTATTGTCTTTGTGCACAAAATAAAGGTGAATTTGCATATTTTTCCCCAAGCTTCCTTTTTCACTTCTCCTTTATTTTGAGACCATTTGAACGTGTCTATGATACCTACTGTTCTCATCTTCTGAAGATAAGATACCTCTTAAAATCTGACTGTAATGGTAAGTAAAGGCCATTTTCAATTTTCTTCCTATTCAGGACAGACTCTGTGCCAAGGCCTGGACCAAGAGCTCACAGAGATGCAATCTTCACTTCCTTACTCTCAGGCTAATGCATTAAATTAAAGGTATTCGGTTATATGATGGCTACGTGAAACATCTGACTGAATGCAATCTCATTTTGTACATTAGTGAATATGAGCGTTCACTCTTGTTGAAGATAACGCTGTTTTTACCAACAGAGTCCACAGCAGGATTAATAAGTTCTGATTGAAAGAAAGATGAAATAATTTTAGTATTAAAATACTAAGTAGCTGGAATCCAAAAGGTCAATTCTCTACTTACATTGTATCTTACTGATATTTAAATTAAATAAGGAAAATAAGTTTATATTTCTCATGATAGTAGTATATGAAAATTAATCTGCTGTTGGAGAAGATCAATCCCAAACAACAGAAGAGCGGGACTAAAAATGGGTCAATTTGCAACACTGTTTGTTGTGGTAGTACTTACCTAAACCGTTTCAGGTGTAATCGGAGAACCTGAGGTAGTCGACACACCATAAGCTGCTTCTGAGCTTCTGTGAGTATAACTGGTTTAGAAGAAAACTTCCTGCGTTTTGCTGAGGCCAAACACACAGTTACATAATACAAATCTTGCTAATTAATAGCCTTGTATTTCACTCTAAGATTTAGCCACCGTATTTGCGTGAACCTAAATGGCTACCGAATGCATCTCCTTAAAAAGAATACACTCAAGAGATCCATTCTGCAAGGCTTATTTTGTGATTTTAGTGTGAAATACTTGGGTCACTTAGGTTAATCTCTTAAAACTAAAAAATAAAAAAATAAAAGGATAGGTTCTTCAGATCCCCATGCGTGTGATCTGAGTTAAATTAAGAGAAGCATCACACGTTAAAACATTCTTTGTACAATTCCCCTTCTAGACAGTTATAGCTGCCACAGTGACCACAGCAGGACATAGGAAAGACTTTCCTTTTAATGCAACATACTTTTAAGACTCATGGTATTTTACTTCTATGCTTTTACTGTCAATTTACATCATATTTTACACAGAGAACATATATATGAGTACATACTGCCTTTACTCACTGTTGCACTGATCACATGCATATATCTTCCCTTCCAAAGCTTCAGTTTCTGTAAACTTGGCCAGCATTTCTGTCAGCAGACAGGGATACTGAGACGCCATCTCCTTGCCATTGCAGTGATACCTCTCAGGAAACTCCAGTGACAGGTCCCAGAAAGGTTCTATGGTATTGGATTTATTGTCGCAGGCAAGACACGTAACCTGTAAAACAATATTTCACAAATTGCTTACACTCAGAAGCTTACTCTGCTAAAAATGTACCATAACAATAAGTGTATATATATATATATTCTTTTCCTAGAGACAACAGATGCAAACAAATGAAGGACAGTCATCTAACACAATAAATGATGCACCTAATTTCTTTTCTCTGAAGCAGCGTCTCCAATAGTGTTACCACAAATGGCTAAGTGTTCCTATGTTTTACTGAGAAACAAAAGAAGTGTCAAAATGGTCTGTCTGGCACTGTCCAAGAGAAATCAGCTGGCAGAATCACGAGTCTTTTCTCTAAAAAGAAATACTCCAAAACAAAAAATTATATGAAAGAAAGAAACTATAATTTAGGTTAATTTAAAAAACAAACCACAGCTCAGGATTTTACAGTCGTATCCTTCTTACTTTGTAAGTCTTCCAGGGAAGCCTGGATTAGGAAGCACACTTCTTCAAAGAAAAATTAACAGGTAAAAATAAATTATTTCTTCTTTCAGTAAGTGGATCTATCGTCACACTAGGGAAAGGACAAGCAGTAAGACAACACAAATAAAATATCAAGAAGTGAAGTGAGTCTACCTCAAAATGCAGGTAATGCAGATGCAGACAATGTATGAAAATATTTAATATTTAGGGAAGTAAGTTAAAAGCAGTAGCTCTTCTAAGCTAGAATGGAAACATATTAGGATTTGATTTGCAATACAATCTTCTAAACGCCAGCTTGAGCTGCTAATAGAAGAGCATCACATCATTTTATTCTTCCTCCAGCAGACCTCTACCTTTCTGTGATCCACGTGAATGAGCAATTTCTATCAGCAGTTGAAGCTACTACTATTTGGTAGTGAAACTCCGTATAGACTGTAACAAACATAGCTCATAAAGGTTATAAAGAAATGTCAGTAAATCTTAAGCATGTGAGAGAGTAAAAATTTCCCCTTCATATGTTCAGTGCAATAGTCAAAGTACAATACAATCCTAACGAGTAATTACAGAAGTTTTCTATTGTCAGGAATGTATTAATTGGCTTCAAAGCTGCTCTTGACCACTGACACAAGCAGCTCTAACCTCACTGCTCTAGTATACATGCCTTCTGAAAAACTGTGTCAAGCTGGATTTTAATTGAGCTCAGATAGGTAAATAGCTTTCACAAAACTTCCATAAGCATCCAACATGCTCCCAACTCTTCCCAACAATTGAACTTTCCCATGGAGGACTACAGGAACTCACAATTTTCATATCAGACCTACTGTCAAGATAGCTGTTACTTATCAGCTCAGAGAACAGTTGGGTGCAATGAAACACCACCACTCCTGCTCTATACTAAGTGGATATCAATGGAATATGCAAGTTTGCAACCACAAGAGCAAACAATTGCCAAATACCATCTCTATAAGCACGCTTCCTATTTAAGGAAACACCACAAGCTGCTTGGAACAACTAATGCAAAGACGTAGCAATAAAGGAATGGAGATCCGTGAGGGATTCAAATATCACCATCATGCAGGCGTGCCTCAACGCTGCTGGGTCTGCAGTTAGGTTAGCAAGCTTACACGAATGTGAAGATGCACTGCTGGGTTTGAGAGCTCCTTCAACTGCATGAAGTTCAACATGGCCAAGTGCCGGGTCCTGCACCTGGGGCGCAATAACCCCAAGCAGAGCTACAGGCTGGGAGATGAGTGGTTGGAGAGCTGCCAGGCAGAGAAGGACCTGGGAGTGATGGTGGACAGTCGGCTGAATATGAGCCAGCAGTGTGCTCAGGTGGCCAAGAAGGCCAACGGCATCCTGGCTTGTATCAGAAACAGCGTGACCAGCAGGGCTAGGGAGGTGATCGTCCCCCTGTACTCGGCTCTGGTGAGGCTGCACCTCGAGTACTGTGTTCAGTTTTGGGCCCCTCGCTACAAGAAGGACATCGAGGTGCTTGAGCGGGTCCAGAGAAGGGCGACGAAGCTGGTGAGGGGCCTGGAGAACAAGTCCTACGAGGAGCGGCTGAGGGAGCTGGGCTTGTTCAGCCTGGAGAAGAGGAGGCTCAGGGGCGACCTTATTGCTCTCTACAGATACCTTAAAGGAGGCTGTAGTGAGGTGGGGGTTGGCCTGTTCTCCCACCTGCCTGGTGACAGGATGAGGGGGAATGGGCTTAAGTTGCGCCACGGGAGTTTTAGGTTGGATGTTAGGAAGAACTTCTTTACCGAAAGGGTTGTTAGACACTGGAACAGGCTGCCCAGGGAAGTGGTGGAGTCACCATCCCTGGAAGTCTTTAAAAGACGTTTAGATGTAAAGCTTAGGGATATGGTTTAGTGGGGACTGTTAGCTGTGAGGTTGGACTCGATGATCTTGAGGTCTCTTCCAACCTAGAAATTCTGTGATTCTGTGATTATTTCCCCGTGGAGATTTGCTGTTACACAATTATTCACCCTGCTCTGCTATTTCATGACCACTGACATAAAGGCAAATCTGTCACCTCATGGTACCTTCCTTCTAGCTATTCTTGTGAGCAATTCTTTATTTAATACATTTATTAGCCACAGCAGCTTATATCCAATCTATGCATTAGCTTCCTAATGCACATGGACGTTTGTGTACAGGCACACGTGTTTAGCACCAGCGTTAGGAAAGCTGTTAGTTGCTCTAACTTCTAAGAAGAGAACGTCTCTGTCTTGTTCTTAGAAAACAAAACTTTGAACTTACACGGCAGAAAAGAGGAGAATCTTCCGTTTTAATTTACACTGACAGGAGCTCCTTTTGTAAGCGCTAACATCTGGCAACGTTTCAAAGCCACAAACTATTAGTAATTCAGAGCTGGAATCTAGACTTGGAGACAAAATGATATGTTTGGCCACAGTTCAAACTAACTCCTGCATAAACACAGAATGACTAATAGATTTCTGCTGTACAAATGGGTGATTTTGTTGAGCCAAAAGTTTGTTTGATTGACAAGTTACTCAAGCAAGATTTTGTTGAACTTGAATGCACACTGAAGATTAATGGGCTTAGGATGAACTACACACATGAACAAAGAATGGATCATTTTAACAAGCTCTGAGGTTTTAAATTTAGCATGCCACGTTAATAACCTAGGTTATTTTAAGATCCTCTTTCCCAACTAGTTAATAAACGCTATCCCAAAGTAAAAGACATGTAATTGGTTCAGCTTCCAAATTCTGCTCCTCAGAAAAGAGAAGCTGGTGCAAGTGTTGCTTCTCATCCCCTTGTGCAACTGTGAGCAAAGCTGGCTTGTGCTGGCTGACTTCTGTGCCGATGCAGAGCTGCAGTTATTTCCTCAAATGCAAGACACTCCTCCCCGACACGCCTCCCCGGCTGGGTGCTGCAGAGCTGGGCTGTTGGGAGCTATCCGGGATTTGCAAATTCCCAAACAGCCAAGTACCCCGGAGTATTCGAATAACCACACACCCAGCCCTGCCAGCCATTGTGCAACAACTGCTCCTGCACACACACACACTGGGTGCTAAATGAGATGTAAATGGAGGCTGGAACAAAGATAAAAACTATTTTTCTTAGCCAGGCCTGGCACAACAAGGAGGAGGATCCTTCCCTCCCCTGGAAGCCACCTGCACCAGTCCTCTGGCCATGCTCCCACCACTTCTGCTGCTGCTCCAGCAGGATCCCTTCATCTAATGCTCCACCAGCACTCACACAGCACAACCCACGTGTTGTTTTTGCATTGAAAGTGTTAAAACTGTATAAACTGCAGAAAGGTAGGTGGAACCAGATGAGAGTTTAAAAAAAAAAAAGAAAAAAGAAACAGACAAATATGAACTCAGAGAGCCAGTAAAATCTTTTTGCATCTGTCCAACATCTTTTCTTGGTGTGAGTATTCGTGAGAGTAAAAGGGAAGTGAATTTGCTTACTTTTCATTGCTATATTTTACAAATTCGGAGTTTAATTTCACCTCTCTGTTACATTCAGTAACTGCTTTTTTAGGAAGTCCTAATGTTGTCATTATAACAAAATGACACAAGAAGCCTACATTTAGAAAGCAAAGAAAGTAAACTACTGCTTTTAGCCGGCTGAAATCCCTACTTTATGCTCTGCCCCAACCATCCTCCTCCTCTCCTGCCTTGTAAGGCGGGCGCTACGTACAATTGTTTGGTTAAAGCTCAGCATTCAATCATGGGCCAAAGGCCAGCCTGAAAAGAGCTGGATCGGATTGCTTGATTCAAGCTAAGCACGGAGGCCACTCAGACAAGCATCACTGAGCCCGCAATAATTTGATGGACAGCCACTGCCCCGGGTGGCATTCAGCCTAAATGCAGCCGAAGGAAATGGTTAACATATTGCTGCAGCAGGAGCAGCTCTGCTTTGCTCATGGTCCCTACAACACCAGCATGGAAGAAAGGCAACTGTTACCATCCCTGCTGTAAGCGCAGTAAGGTGGGCAGCCCCATCTCTGGGCTTCCACTGCTACTGAGGTTTTCACAAGATAGGAAATACCCACACAAAAAGCAGCGCAATTTTTCCATAGCAATGTAATTAAGGGGGTTTGATTGCTGTAACACGACCTCCAACACCACTGCCACTCGGTGTTTCCTCCCTTACAAAGATAACCCGACCTCGTGGTGCTGACTACCCCGTCATCGAAATGATCTGTGTTTAACAGAACACCACGGGCAAACTACAGCAAACCACGGTCTGTGATTCAATGGCCCGTAGAGATTAAGGTAAAAAGTCACCTTCATCCAGCTGGCAAGCAACTGCCCGTCCCCTTCTGACTCAGGCAGCAGGGAGAAGCAGACAGTATATATGGAAGCACGGCAGCCAGCATGTGGGAGAGATCAAAATACAAAAACCAGCCCACGGGTCGTGCATTGGTTTGAGTGTAAATGCTCCCATTATCAACCCGAAGTCCTCAGAGCCTTTACCAGGTTATTCAGTGTGAGCCTGCACACCCAGCGCTGCATCACAGCCCCCTCGGGCTGTCCCCAGACCTGCATTCACAGCACAGCCCCCAAAACCCCAGGGCTTCAAACAGCCCAAAGACCGCTCATTTCCCCTTTTCTCGGCCAATTCGTCCCAAAGCTCACCAGTTGAGCAAGTAAATGGAGCAGGACATGCACAGGGAGGCTGTGCCTTTTGAAACTCCCGACACCATTTACATTTGTGAGGCCTCTCCGGGCCCTGCATATCCATTTCCCAGGGCGCTGCAAACTGCTTGGCTGCATTCCCCCTTACACACAATCAGCCGCTTCCCCAGGGTTATCGAGCGGGATCCTGTTTGCTTTCAGGGTGTCTGGAGATAGGAAAAGCCAGTTCCAGCTAGGTGTTGGATATTTAAAGGGTAATTACTGCGGAAAGAGGCTCGTTACCAAAGGCAGGTTTGTCCTAAGAGGACACGGTAACTGCTCACAGCTTTGCTGCAGGGGAAATTCAGGCCTCCAGGAGCCAAGCCAGTGCCCGGCGCTTTCCCTGCTGGGTTTGCTGCTGCTGTTACTGAAAGCAGGCCGAGAGCTTTTCGTGAGGCACCAGACTCAAAGGCAATGAAACCCTCACAACAGACTTCCAAAACCCACCCCCAAACAGCATGGTTTCCAAAGGGCTCCTCATCAAAAAAAAAAAAAATCTTGAAATTACGTTGGCTAGCTACTTTTCGTCATTCACATTAAATCTGGGGTTATTCACCAGCACAACACAGGGAAATCAACAGCTGCTGGCTGCTTTGCAACACGCGCCAGTTCAGTGAAACACTGCAGCCACAACTCAGCATCAGTTTTCTTCACTGAGTTGGGTTCCAAGCAGCTCTCACACAAATCCTGTATTGATTCAGGGCTGCTGGCACTGCGAGGCTGTTCCTGCCTTGGCAAGGTCCTGGCAACTGCGGGAGGTCCCTGAGGATGTGAAGAAAGCAAGTGTCACTCCTGCCTTCGGGGACAAGAGCCTCCAGAGCCAGGAGAACTGTCACCTTCATCTATGGGAAGGCTGAGGGAGCAAGTATTCCTGGAAAACATGTCCCAGTGTACCAAGGGATAAGACGATCAGGAACTGCCAGCGTGGATTTATGATGGGAAAATCACGCCTGACCAACCCGACAGCTTTCTGCAGTCAGGCAGCTAGCGCAGGGCACCAGCGGGCAGTGGAGAACAGGTGATGTTGTTTATTTTGACTACAGCAAGGCTTTCACCCTGTAGCATGAAAACCACTCCTTGCTTACTTAATGTTGGGAAAAAAATGAAATAAGCATACCTTAAAAACTGTTGCACACTGTGCTAATTAGCTGGGACCATCACAAAAAACCTAAGCCAATAAAAACCAGAGAGATGGTAGCTGACCTACTTCAGTTCCTGAAGTGTACATCAAGGAGCTGTGGATCAGTTCACGAGGTCAGTTTACCCCAGCACATAACTTCACAGTGAGCTCTTCTCCTCATTTTCCACTCCAGCACAGCAGAGAATGGGTATCCTTTCTTCCACAAGAGTACAAGCATGGAGGGATGGAAAATAACTGGTATTTTAATAGGCATACTGGCATCTCCTTGCAGTCCTAGCGGGGCTGAGGAATGGGCCACTGCTTCAGCAGATCTGCATCTGAAAGCATGGGTTTACAAGACGAAGGCTCCTTTTGCCCAAGAAGTACCACAGTACAATTTTCCCCAGGCAACCACTGGAGGAAGACTAGCGTGTAAAAAAAGGAAAGAAGAGAGAGGAAAGGCTTTGTAGCTGTATCTTACATAGCCACAGTATCTAGGGGAAGTAAGGTTTCACAATCAGTACTGCAAAGCAAAAATCTTTAATCCTACAAAGGATATTGGAGTCAATAAAGTTGATAAAAGCCAAGAGGCAATCCAATTGTCCACACTCACACACACGCTATTCTGGGAGTTACTCATTACCTGGTTTTGTATTCCATAAAGAGAAGTCGTAGGTGGGGAAGACTTACTTTGGATCAGCTCAGAACTTTAAAAGAGAAACAAAAAGAAACTCATCTAAAAGGCGTAATTTTGACAACACCTACAGCTTTTTCTGGTTATCAGAAAGAAACCTGAGCAAGATTCTCACACGTCCCATTTCCTCCCCTCTTAGCCCTGCACTCTGCACGGAGGTGCAGCGCTGAATCAGGCACCGTCCCTCTGGCAACAGGCTGATGGCAAGCTCTGGACTGGGGCTTCCCTGCAGGTTACGGCACAGCACCCGCAAGAAGGGCTGTGTTTTATGGCACACGTGAAAGTAACGCAGAACCTGAGCAAACAGACAGCTTATCTGCATGGCAAGCGATCCTCTGTGTACTGTATCAACAGCAGCTCCCGAGGTTTAAAGGTCAAGTAGACTGACTTCAGTGCACTTGAGTATCTCACAGAATCAAATGTCTTTAACTAATACTCGTGGTACTAATGGGCAGTGAGTGTAACAACTCTGCGATCCTAAAATGGAAGGCAACTGCTGCACAGAAACCAGCTTCCCCACTCCCCTTGTTCACTGAACAAAGATGTGATTCCAAAATATTCTAGATTAAAATCCTACCCTGTTTTCTGAATAAAGGCAGCGGGCTACCGTTCCAGCTATCTCCTACAGAGAAATTGTATTTCTCTTGCAGCTTGTAGGTGGATAGGGTTAAGCACTTAAGGACAAGGAGTACATACATCCCTTAAAGTGTTCGGATTGTCAAAGTACCACTTCTGTTCAAAAATCCCTTCTGTTCAAAAGGCTGGTGAAGACTGGACTGGAGCAGAGGAGCGAGACCACAGAGGGAACGTCAGGAGGTGAAGTGCTGGACACCACCCGTGGAAACTGCCCCAGGAGCCGGGGAGACATCAGGGCAGGCAGCAGCCTCACGCCCTTCCCCCTGTTCTGCCTGCTCTAGGCGCTGTGAAGTTCGCCGGGGCTGTATTTTGCATACAGATCCTGACCGGCTGGGGTAAAAGCACCGAGCTGCAGTCACAGCACAGCCTGAGCGCGTTCAGTTCTTTTTCAGGCTCACTTGATGACACTTGAGTGAATTCTCACTGTTCCCCTCCCTAGTTTCAGGAAGGTGGGAGGGTTTCTAGCCACAAGCCTCTTCACGTACAGCTAAAAACAAGTGAAAGGAGTGGTGCTAGCAAAATAATACGTCTTCAGAGCCTTCAAAATTCTTCCAGAAAATCATTCCTATACAAAGGCTTGGAATGCAAACCAAGCCGTGACAGTATACTTAGGCAATTTCTTTCTTTTCATATCAAAGTTACTATGTTAGAGAGGATTGTGATTTTCAATTAAAAACAAAACAAAACAAAAACTTTGATGATACGATATAAAAGACTCTTCTACCAGCACAATCCTTACCCCAGAGATGTTAACTGCCCTGAGAAAACTAAATATGCCAGCAGAAGTGCTCTGACACTGGGCCAAACACACGGTAGAGGATGATCTACCCGTTCTACCCTCTGCTCCTGTTGCAATGCGGTTAGTTTTTTTGATGCATTCAACAGAAATCAGCATTTGTTGGTTCAGGCAGTTCTCAGTTGTTTGTACACACACACGCACACACACAGTTGGGATGTGCCTAAGAGAATGTGGACACACTGAAGCACTTAGCAGGAAGCTAAGAAGAAAGCAAAAACAATAATAAAAAAGAACAGTCATTAAAAGAGGAAAACAACCATTGCCTCCACCCTACGGATTTGATTCCTGTGTTGACAGAGCCTTCTATATCTTTGTGTTGTAACGGAAAGGATTAGCACCATTGTACATAGCACCGCAGCAAACAATTACTTTGTAGTAATGAATCTCAAATTCAACCTGATTACTGAAATAATACAAATTATTCCTTGCAAGGCATCCGTTACAAAAACAGCTGCCATTTATACTAGAATAACACCTTTTCTCTGGTATCACCACAGCCTACTAGATGCTTGAAACTGTAAATTCTTTATTACTGCTTATCAGTTGATGTTTAATGGCAGTCAGATGTTTATCAGTAGCTTCAGGAAGGTGCTTTATAATACCAAATTTATAACTTTTATGTTAATCAGGTGACTCTTCTACTGAAATTTTTAGGAGTACTGAGATGACCTTTCTTCTAAAATAGTATATACTATATCCTCCCCATCCTTCCTTGGTAATTACAAATTTATTAACCTTTGAAGTGCGCTGATCGTCAACCAGTATAAATTCATAACTACAAATCATTACACATCTTAAAACCATCATAAAAACATACCTGACTTAATAGCTGTCCATGAAAAATGTTGTTAACCACATTCAAAACCTGTTTTATAAGTTTTCTTTGAGAAGCAGGGATGAGAGCTGGGTATCTGGTCCCCGTAGTCTCCAGTTCCTGCTGCACTTTATCCAAAAGTTCACAAAGGAATTCCTGAGCATCTTGTTGGGCATATCCTCTGAAGGCTGGAATTAGTCTCCACACAGAATGAAGCATAGCAAATGGAGACACAAGCGCCCATTTGCCAGACCACATCACTTGAAACAGAGTATGCAGCTCGTGACAAAGAGAAATATGCTTTGAACTGGGCTCCCTGGGCTGAATAAGTTCCATATTTCTACTTTTTGATGCTCCTCCACTTAATCCAGAGGATAAACTAGACCGCCTCACAGAAGATGATCCCTTTCCTTTCTCTTGGTTCTCACTCACTTGTAATGTTGAGGCAGTTACTGAAGGGTGTTTAGATGAAGATCTGGTTTTACCACTGGCTGCCGTTGCCAGCAGTTCCTGAGTTTGGTTGAGATCAAGCTTTAAAAAGCATTCTCGAAAAATAAGTAAGTGACTTAATACCTGCAGGATAGAGTTCATATAGCACGTATTTCCCAGGTTTCTCAGTCCTGTCACTCCTGGAGTCACTGTGGGCCTTCGTTTGATTGGGGAGTCACTTATTTTTTTCAATCTTACTTCATCTGAGGTATACGTTTCTTTCAACTCTGCCACAGATTCCAATTTCTGTGATGCTTTTTGCATGCAGGGTGCTGTTTTTGAGGACATTCTAATCTGGTTTTGTAAACGAGAACTCTTCCTTGGGGGCATCTTTTCCATCTCTTCTTTCAACTGGCGCTTTCGTTCTTGTCTCCTCTTTCTAGCTTTGTCCCTTCTTTCCTCCTCCTCTTCCCAACGCTTTTCTTCCTCCAGAATCTTTTTTCCACTCGGCGTCAGCTGAAACCATGACCTGAATACCTTGCCCATGAACGCGCGCCGCCTGTGCCACAGCGCCGTGAACATGCGATCCTGATTCCGAAGCACGGCTTGGGCACCGTCATGCGCCAGGTAGGAGTCGTCGCTGGCCGCCATCGAACGCAAAGTCCTCCCGCTACGAGTAGTGCACTCATAGTTCTGACTCTTGATTGCACTTAATGTACTCCGCAACAGCTTTAAATCTCCCGTCGCGTTATCATTAAGAACATAATCGTCACAGAGATAACAGAAAACATACAGCTCGTTTACTTCCAACGCCACTGGGTGACCGTTCTCCTGAAAGTGCTTTAGTGCATGTTCTTCGATGTATCTGCCGCAGGCCACGTGCGAGCAGCTGAGGCATGCCCACACGGATTCGGTGGTGTTGCAGTCCACGCAGTGCCATTTCTGAGGATTCAGGATGGAGTGATCCTGGGCCAGTCGCAGACGTCCTATGTGCTTACACTTATCCATCGTTAAAACTGAAACTGCAGGGAGACACTAGCAAAACATATCATCCAAGCTATCTTCTGTCCATGATACTTCAACCTGCAACTAAAAAAAAAAAGAGTTTTAAGTTACAGTGCACAAATACCCAGCTGTATCACTTTGATGGCTGTCAGTATACCTCACTGCTACCTGAGGTCAGGACCACAATCTTCATCCAACCAAGTCCCACCAAATGCATAATGGCAGGCAGTTCCCTGGAGCCACACTCAGCGTTACCATCATCAGCCTGACATTCAGACTATTTAGTTCATATTTTCAGTACTTTCTGGCCCAGGACTGAAGCATGCTGGCCTCTTTTGGTTTTTGTTTGTTTGATTTTTCCCCCCAAAGAAGCACTGATCAAGTTAAAATACACTGTTTTAGAATTTGGATAGAAACACAATTTAAAATGTTCCTATTAATTACATCCCTAAGCACGCAGGTGCAGGAGTGCAAGGTTCACTTCAATTTATTATGTTTACACAGTATGACCAGTTTAGACAAATGAGACTTCGTATAACTCAAACCCTTAATTAAGCCACACCCTTAATTAAATCACTGCACCTTTGTGCTCAAGCAAGCCCATTGTACCAGTGCTTTCTACAATAACATATTTCCAGATATGTGTACTTTAACATGTTATCCTAGCAGCACTGGGGAGAAAAAAAAAAAGAAAAAAAATGAGGGTGACAGGGAAAAACAGACTTTGATTTCTTCACAAGAAAGAAATACCATTAGATATCTAGCTCAATTTGCTGAAAACCTTACTTAAAAAATAGCAGTTTGAACATTTTTCTAATACACGTCTTCAAAAAAAAATACAACATTTGGCTTACCCTGGCTTATATCCTTTTATAAGTATATCTGGCAGCATTTATTTGTTCAAAGCTGCTGTATTTGCTCTCTCCTGTAAGGTGCATTTACCCAAACCAAACAAGCAGGCTCTGACTAACAGACTTAAAGAGACAGTGATTCAGTCTTTGTTTTTGCCATCTTTCTTTCGACCTTACAATCTGGTTTGAGAGATATCATCTGGAGACAGATGATGTGTCAGGAAGCGATTATGTTTGATCTGGAGCCTTTGTGCCCACGATGTCACTGACTAGGAAGGCTGCATAGCACACAGCACCCATCACATCATGCGCAGTACTTTCCAGATGAAACAGTTGCTTCACCTGAGGAGGACCAAGCGCTTGTGAAACACGCAGGTTACACCAAGCGAGACCTAAGTTTTGCCATTACAAATACATACTGTGGACCTTGCCTAGGCTGTACAACATCCAGGACTCGAGGCTTCACAGATGAATAAGCCAAGCTACAAAAAAATTAAGTGATTTAGCCAGCTCTGTATAGAATCCAAAGGTCTCTAAATCCAGCTATCATCCTTCAATACGTTAGTATTTCTCCACTGCTAAAGTCCTGAAATGCACAAGAACAGGTTAACTGAGTTAGGAAAATGTCCATGATAGAGAAGGCACTATACTGGGGGAATCCTAGCATCTGACGACATGCCTACTAAGGAAGGCAAGCAGGTGAAAAAGCAGCAGCTGGATAGGAAAGTAGCTTCATTTTTCCTCTGGTAACTGGATGAAATTTATCATTAAAAGATTTAACGAAAAACGACTTGGATTGGTTAACTGTCCTGTGGCCAACGTCTTTTAAGATGTTCTGATACAGTTAACGAAGAGCTCCCACAACCCTGAGCACAAAACCAGCACCCGGCCCTGCACGCCTTGTGTCATTACTCGTCATACAGAAAAGGTTGAGCCAGCTCCAGTGAAACTAGCGAAGTGCACACGGTTTTACACATTCGTCATTTCCATTCAATTTATTTCAGAGCTGTTTCCAGTCCGTACTAACTGCAGGGAAGAATTTCAGGCGCTGTGGCCTCTGTGTACCCAGCCAGTACTTCCCAGGCTAAGCACTAACCCGGGCGTACTACGGGAGGTCAAGATCTCTTGAGTGCCACGGTCAACAGACCACAAAAATAATAGCTGCTGAAGGTTTTCAGCTTGCCAGCGTCCACAACATTCATTCCTTCTAAAAGGCAGTCTATTCACAGGCTGCTAATGAGATTCTTTTACAAATGTCCATACTACGTTTCTACTTAATCCTGTTTTTGTAAATAAGGCCACTAATTTTATCCCATGTCTTCTCCCACAGCTTTCCCCCAACAAAGCTGAGCTTCTCTAACACTGATGTCCGTAATATGAGGAACTTACATAAATCTCAGAGTTGGCATGTATGCTAAATCCTCCTGGAATACTAAAGAAATTCTTACATAAAGTCTGCTGCAATGATTAAAAATGGTTGACAGAACTCAGAGAGACAAGATTCATCCATATGTTTTCGGGCTAACCAAGACAGATCCTCCTGCAAAACATATTAGTAGCAGTGCTTCCCAGAAGGCAACCAAACTGAATTCCCACAGGGCTGTCGGATACAGCAATACCGTCACTCCGCGAGTCTGACAGATCAACCCTTTCCCATTTTCTTACATTTAAAGACACTCCATACCTTATTTTCCTTTTTTTTGTAGTATTATATTGTAATTTTTTTCCCCTGTTTGAAAAAAAAAAAAACAGCATCGAGAGTGATACTACTCACATGGCTGAACTTCAGCACGTATTGGACTGGGGACAGAAGCAGCCTGCTGATTTCAGGATGAACACTGCGTAAACCAGGGTTGTGCAACCAAGCTCTTAATGCGAAAGCAACAGGATTCTACGAAAGCGCAAGACCGACTGACGCCTTGAAGAGAAAAGCCCCAAAGCCCTTGCCCCCCGCCAGCAGCCAAGCCAGCACGACATCTTCCCACCTCCGCCGAGGCACGGAGAAAGGAGCCGGGAGGAGGGGGAGGAACCAGCCTGGCATGGGAGAAGGCAGTTTCTTTGAAGAACATGGAAAGAAAGCAAAATGCACAGTTTGGTCAGAGACACAAATATCTGAAAAAGACCACAAAAAAAGCTAATAGTGCCAAATCGAGACCGGGAAAACTTCAGCTCAACATCGGGCAGCACACCGACGGCATGAATGTTTTAAGATGTGGAGCACTAGAACACTAAATCAAGCGGGAAAATTTACTAACTTACAACAAATAACTTGCAAAATAGAATAGGTTGAGGAAAAAAAAATAGGATTGAAGTAACAGATAATGGTTGAAATATAAAAAATACTGGATCTTGATTGCTACACCTAGTAGAAAACCGCAGCTGGGGTAAAACAGTTCAAGCAAATGCTACACTATTAAAATTCTCTAAAGAAAGTTATTCAGCACCAGCTTGTGCATTCTTCTCTCCCGAGGCTCAGTTCTCTGCACACACACAAAGAAATTGTGAATTAATTGACCAGCACTCCAGAGATCAAGCCCCCCTGTGCTCTTAGCACAGACCCGAGCAGAGGCAGTAAGCAAGATAACAAGCACCAACACACAGAGCAGCGGGCTGAAAGGAGCGAGCTGCCTGGGAAAATACGGGTATACAAAAGTCTCCTTGCGCCAAAGTCCCACCAGCACTGAATGTGTCCGGAGCATGGCATTTATTTTCACCGAAGCACGCCGATAAGGCTGAGACACGGTTATTTCTTTAGCTGGTTTTACTCCACGATGGCTGGCAAACTAAACTGCGGGGTAACTTATTAGCTGAAAAAGTACTCGAAAAAAAAATAATAAAATCAGAAGCCAGGACTATGGATGTTTTTCTTCCATTTGAGCTACGCATAAACAAGAGATTCACTCTCACAGCTGTTAAACTGAGAATTATAACTCAGATAGAAACAAAAGATATCTTTTTTTTTAAGTCACTACTCTTGTAATTAGTTGCATGAGGAAAAAATCGAGCAGGATCTCAAGCGCTAGACTCCAGTAGGTAGTTTTACTGATGTGTGCACAAGCATGGGTGGATGCTCGGGTGTCTGTGTGTGTCTGTGTGTGTGTGTGTGTGTCTCTGTGTCTGTGTGTCCATCCCTCACTCGGGGGCAGGTTACCCCCGATTTTCGCCGTGCTCATACCCGCTTCCCACCTGCACGGCGAGCACACACGGGCAGCTCCCGAACCGAAAGCTGTAGGTACCCAGCACGATACGAGCCTGAAGCCAGCCGCCCTGCTCGCTCCGCACAGCCCTTTCTCCCCAGTCAACCCCACCACACACCGCCCCCGGTGACCCCCCGAGCCCTGCAGCTCGCCCCCAGCCCTCACCGCAGCTCCGCGCCCCATGCCCCGCTCCGGCAGCACCAGCCGCGCTCCCCGCTCCGCTCCTAGAATAAACTCCGCGCTCCTGCCGCCCGCTGACAGCTCCGCCTGTGCCCCCCGCTCCCCGGGTCAGCGCCGCCCGCCCCCCGCCGCCCCCCGGCTCCTCGCCCCGTGCCCGCCGCCCCTCACGCACCCGTCACCCGCCGCTGCCGCCATCTTGCGCGCCCCGAGCCGCAGCCGCCCGGCCCCGGCCCCGGCCCCGGCCCCTCGGCGACGTCAGCGCCGGGCCGCGGCCGCCCCCCGCTCCCCTCCCTCCGTCCCTCCCTCCCCCTCCCCGCGGGGATCCCCGCTCCGCTCCGCCCCGCCGGGCTTCGGGGCTGTGGGGCGGGTGGCAGCCCGCGGGAGCGAGCCCCGGGGTGTGGGGAGGGCTGAATAAACTCTCGGCGAAACCTCGCTGGGCTGCTCTATGCCTATACGCACACGGGTTCGCTCGTGCTTTGTGTGAATTGTGCCCCAAAAAGATGTTACAGGGGGCTTCAGGGCGGGCTCAGGGTGAGCATGGTGTCCCACGAGCCCCCAGGGGGTTTTAAGCCATGGCCACGAGCACCAAAAGCCCTCTCCTGAGCCCCCCGCGTCCAGCAGGGTCTTTTCACAGCAGCAAGGCTCCGTGCGTCTGCCTCCGTGCTTCTGCTCGTGTCGTCATGGAAAATGCGCTTTGGTGTAAAACCTGTGGTGAAATATCTTGGCCCCGGCTGCCTCCGCTCCCCTCCAGTTGTGGGGCTCGGCCCTCGCTGCTTGCAGGGCGGCCACGGGGCGCAGGCAGCAGGATGCAGCTGAACAGCACAGCTCAGTTTTCCTTCAGGGTCACTTTGTTGTGGTGCGCTCAGAAGCCCACAGGGGATGAAAAAGTAAACTCGCCGAGCTTCTCACTCGTGATTTCAATGCGTTTCTAGCCTCTAATGTGAGGAATGATGTTTCCTTACTCAAAACATGAAAATCAACTGCACGGTGGATGTATTTGCACATCCTTGGGTGTTTTTAAGACAACTTTCACTATTTCCAAATAGCTACCATGTGTATTTTTGTCAAGTCACTACCCACATCTTTATCAGTAAGAGTTTCTTCCTTCAGTCCTAGCTGGGAAACCAGCTCTCCCACAGTGATGCATCACCAGTGCCTCTCTCACGCGATATCTCTGTCCAGCCCTGCCTGCATGTCTGTCTGTCGGCTAAGTGGTGTTGGCACGGACCCGATCACCATCCCGCTGTGACCCCCAGGCTGCCTCCATCCAAGCCCCTCAGCCCCACGCCCCAGCACACTGCTCAGGTGGTGAGCTCCAGGTGAGGCCTGGGGCACTTTGGGACATCCCAAGCCCCATTTTCCATGGGATGTCTGATGGGGGCTTTGGTCCTCAAATGCTCACAGGAAGGCCAGCAGGGAGAGCAGAACATGGTGGCTCCACAACATGGATGTTAAGCCCACCACAGGGCCAAGGGTTAACTCAGTCAGACACAACCCAAGGCCTGGCCATTCCCAAAGTCCCTCAAAGAATCCCTCAGAAATTCATTTTCATTTAGGCTGATTTTTATATCCTGGCAACCTATCACTGTCCCCAGTGCACAGTGTTACCCCTTTCCCCTCCACCAGACAGTGCATATCTTCCAAAACTCCATTCTACTGATAACAGATTTGCTGTGCCCTGTTATCTCTGCAGTATCTGATTTTACATAGAACAGATGAAGAGAAAATCAAGTTCCTCCTTTATTTTTCTTTCCTTTTCTCTCTCTCTCTCTCTCTCTTTTTTTTTTTTTTTTCCTCCCCATCAGTTCCCCATGTTAATTTGACAACACTTAAGCTGATTCTCATTAAGCACAGTTCATACCCTTATTGGGGCAGGGAGCCCTTCAATCTCTCTTCCTGCATGTTGGCTAATCCACTGCAAGGTATTGATTTGGGATTGGGATTTGGCTCCAGCCAAACAGGTAAATCACCAAATTGCTATATGCTGCTCTTACCAGATCTGTCCTGGTTCATGTATGCTTTCAGTGACATCCCAATTAATTTTTTTGACCTTCCTTTAGCCTTTCTTACAGTCATGCATTTATTCTGCTAAGGTAATGGCCACATTAAAAACATTCAAGGCTGATAAGAGAATGCCTGATCCTCAGGGACGTATACAAGACTTTTTACCATCCAGACATTATAGCTAGATTTCTTGTGATTTATTGAGACAGCCAGAAATTGATTTCCCAAAAGTAATTTAATTTTAAATTCATTGGGTATTTATGAAAATGGATGCCAGATATATGTGATATTGTCAAGAAGCAAACAAATGTAATAAATCCTTAAAAGTAATGTAACCTCATGTCTTCCTTTTAAATGTAAAAACATTCTCTGGAGGGGAGAACACCACTTCCACACACAGTGTGTGCTTAAACCTTTCTAATACTGCAGAGACTTTAATGTATTTTTAAATGTCCCTTAACATTATGTTTATATATGCATATATACACACACACTGTGTGCACTTACAGAAAAATATTTGCTTAGTCCACCTGACAGACAAAGACATCATAAGATGCTATTCTGAATGAAGCATCTGAACTTCTATAAATGCCCAGAAATTTTAAATGAAATGAAAAGTGAGCTTTAAACAAAAAGTTAACTTTAAACAAATATGGAGCGACCTTTTGCTCTTGTTGATACGAACACCAATACTGGTTTGCACAGTAATGCAAACCAGTATCGGTGCAAGCCTCAGGGAGGCCACTGGGACCAGCACTACTTGCCCTGGGACTGTTCTGAGTTCTAGAAGCCCCTATGTGACATTTCTGCTCCTGGAGAGCCTGTCATCTTCCCTGAAGTGTGAGGCAATAGTTAAGGAATATTGGTCATCAGGAAATTTGTTCTTTCACTTTTATGACGGTACAGACATGTCCCGTGCAGACATAAACAGATGGGACTGATGGTATGGAGTTAATTGCACATCTGAGGCACAGAAAATAGATGGGACAAGGGGAGGGATAATAAATCACGAAACTACATAGACTGATATGAGCAGCCTGATGGTTTCCAGTTCAGCTCTAGTGATAAATAGGAATCTTTTTTTCTTTTTCTTTCTTTTTCTTTTTTTTTTTTCTCTAAAACGATGGGAGCATTTTAAAACTGTACATGGAAAGGGGAATCTTGGTGAGCTCATCTAAAAGCTTGATACATACATGTACCAATATTTACACAGTTTGGGAATATTTGCGTACTTACCTTCATCACTGGGCGTTTGTTGTGTTGCAATATTCCGCAATACAAACAAAATGCTTTAAGTTGTGTATAAACAGATTCAGGGCTCAGAGAGGAATTCTGTGTGTGTGAGACCCTGAGGATAACACAGGATTTTCCCCAGCATCTGTGAAACTTGGGCTGCAGTTGAGTTTGAGATGAAAATGCACACATCCATACAAGCTTGGTGTTTTAATTCCCATCAGGGTCAATGGGGCTTGAACCAGCTACATCTGAGGTACTTCTGATGTACGAGGCATTCAGCCAGGGCTGGCCAGTCTGGCACGGGGCCTGCAGGACTGTGGTGCCCCTCTGGAGCAGTGGCTGGGGACAAGATGGGATGGCTGATAGCCCCTCAGATGGCACTGGCTGACAGGACAGATGAACTGAAGATCTCTTCAGGCAAACTCTAAGCAGGCAGCTGATGGTTACTTAAATGGATCAGTGTCCCCAGCCCAGCTCCCTGAGTAAGAATGGGTGCTTTATGCTTAGGCAACCGAGTCCTGCCCATAGTTGAGGGGGGGGGGTACTTAAATGTGTGTATCTGCCCTGTGCACTGGTTCCCACCCCTACTCACCCCACTGAACTTGGGTTAGGTCCAAAAGTAGAAGATGCATTTTGCAAATACATATTTTTCTTAAATGGGATGAATGTCTGGGAGGATTGCTGAGTCTCTAAATGATCTCCAGGTTTAAAAGCAAAACCAAAAATTCTGCTAGTCAGTCGATAAATGTGTAAACATGGCATTAGGATACTTTTCCCATAATTTCTACAGTTTTCTGCTTAAGAATCAAGAAAACAGAAAATACTCATTCTAAAACTAATTTCAGGAAAATATTTTATTGATAACGTTAATGATATGCTGATTCTTCTCTTCATCACCTTTGACTTCCCTTTGCTTCTTCACATTGGTTTGTCCAGGTGAAGGAGGACAAATTCATCCCCGCGCCTGAAATTGTTTAACATTAAGCAATTATTTGGGTGCAGGGCTCTTGAGGCCTATTGACAATGTTAAATGCACCTAAATGCTTAATAAAAGTTTAGATTCTTTCCCCCCTATAATTTCTCATTTTTAAATAGTTTGAAATAAAAGCAGAACTTTAACAAACAGTTGTTCAGGCAAGTGCTGTAGTTTTTGACTCTGAGACCGAGGTTCCTTTTCATTATTACGCAT